CGTGGTCTTGGTGGTTGGAGACTAGGGGGAGGGTGGATGGGGCGTGGCAGTGATACCGTCAAGTACATCACGTGTCATTCAGGTAGAGGCTCCGGAATGTCTGGCACCCGAAGTGAGGTAAGGAGCACAGTGCATCAGCTCCTTTTCCATACTTACCAAGAAAGAACTAAAACATGAAGATTTATGTTACTGTTACTGATTATCTTTTGTAAGAAAAAAGGAAGCAGGTGCAGAAGCAGAACATGAGAGTGGACATGGAACGTGACCACTGAAGCACAGCATCACATGGAGACAGTTAAGCCCCGGGATGTCTGCGGGCCTCCCTGACAGCCGTCAGGCCTTACCACAAGAGCTTGGAGAAGCGGAGTTTTCTCCAAACTTCCCCAGGAAGGAGATGTCTCGGCCATCCTGGACGTCTCCTTCCCTGGCTGGCTAAACATCGGGCGCTTTCCCAGTGCTGGCACTGCCGCACAGCAGAGGCGCCCTCCAGCAGCCCTCATGCGGGCGTGACCGACGGCTTGGAGCATGTTGCCTTAGTGTCATTCATTTCAGTGTCACCCCAGGTTCACGCTTCCGACCCGAGAGGCATTAGTAACGGAATTAAGATCACCTGTGAATAACTAAGATCACATAGGAATGACTAATTACTCCGGTTATATTACTAATTACTTTTTTCTTCATTATTATTATTATTTTTTTTTTTTTTTGAGACGGAGTTTCGCTCTTGTTACACAGGCTGGAGTGCAATGGCGCGATCTCGGCTCACCGCCATCTCCACCTCCTGGATTCAGGCAATTCTCCTGCCTCAGCCTCCCGAGCAGCTGGGATTACAGGCACTCACCACCGTGCTCAGCTAATTTTTTGTAATTTTAGTAGAGACGGGGTTTCACCATGTTGACCAAGATGGTCTCGATCTGCTGACCTCGTGATCCACCCACCTCGGCCTCCCAAAGTGCTGGGATTACAGGCTTGAGCCACCGCGCCCGGCCTTTTCTTCATTATTTATATGGAAATAGGCTGAGGCCTTTCGCTCCTGCCTGGGTGCCTATGGGATCTCCCCCTACAATGCACCACATCAGCTACATGGGAAACGTGGATGGTGCTGTACAGCTGACTTGCTGACGTAGAAAACGAGGCTTAACACTAGTACCTTGGCCAAGCGCGCTGGCTCACGCCTGTGGCCCCAGCACTTTGGGAGGCTGAGGCAGACGGATTGCTTAAAGTCAGGCAGACAGATCGCTTGAGTTTGACACTAGCCTGACCAATATGGTGAAACCCCATCTCTACTGAAAATACAAAGATTAGCTGGGCCTGGTGACAGGCACCTGTAATCCCAGCTACTCGGGAGGCTGAGGCAGAGAATTGCTTGAACCCTGGAGGCGGAGGTTGCAGTGAGTTGAGATCCAGCCACTGCACTCCAGCCTGGGCCACACAGCGAGACCCTGCCTCAAAACAAAGAAACAAAACAACTTAAATGTAGGATCCCTTGCTCCCAGGAGGAGGTCAAGGTGGCAGTGAGCTTTGATTGTGCCACTGTACTCCCGCCTAGACAACAGAGCAAGACTATGTCTCAAAAACAAGCCTGGGCAATGTAGTGAGTGAGACCTTGTCTCTACGAATAAACAGTTTTTAAACGGGGAGGGAAGATCACTTGAGCCGAGGTGGGTGGGGCTGTGGTGAGTCTTGGTCATGCCACCACCTTGCTGTTGTCACAGGAGTCTAAGGGTGTTCCTTTGCCAGTCAGCTCTGTGGCCACAGCGCCTCTGCTTGGGTTTTGCTGACGCCTGCTGCACTTGTACTGCCCACTTGGCCCAGCAGGCTGCACTCAGCTCACACTGGCTCAGATCCCACACCTGCCAAGGGCTAGCCAGGCATAGAACAGCGAGTGGTGTGTGCGTGAGTAAGTGCGGGGTCCAGCCACCATGCACAGCCGGGCACAGGCCTGGGGTGGTCAGCTACAGGTGCCAGCATAGGTGCTGGCTCTGTGTGAGGCTGTGGCTGGACCAGGCGTTCCACATGTGGCTTATGCTGCAGGCCCCATATATGAATGGGGAGAATGCAGTGGCACCCAGGAGATTGGAGATGCCAGGAACCACAGAGCCCCAAAGAGGGTATCAGAGCCCTGGCCTCCCCAAATGGCCGCAGCTCTTCTCTCCTTGTCGCCTGCAACGTGGCAAGTGGAGGGGAGGAGGGCGTTTCAGCCCTGTTTGTCACAGCTCTTTCAGTCCTGCCATTTGGCGGGTCCCAAGTTCTTGTCCCCCTCCAGGAAGAATCAGGTACGTGGACAACTGGCGGGTGAGACAGGTGGAGAGGAGCTTCACTGAGCAACAGAACGGTTCTCAGGAGACCCAACGTGGGTAACTCCTTTCTGCCGGCAGGTTGTCTCAGTGAGATGAGGAGACCCGACTGGGTAGCTCCTTCCCCCACAGCTGGTCATCCTGATGTCTCTCTGTGAGTCTGGCTGAGTCCAGTATTTTTATGGGCTTCAGAAGGGAGGAAGTACCTGCTGACTGGTCCATGGGCAGCCATCGATGGGCAAGAAAAAGCACCGTAAGTTCTCCCTCTGAGCCACACACTCCACCCAGAACTGAGCCCAGCCCCCAGGCTTGAAGCTGTCCCTGGCTTGAAGATGGGGCTTCATCAGGGACCTGCTCCTGTCTACCCAAGAGCCTGTCTGCCTCCTGTCGCCATCAGTCGTGTCGTCCATGGTGCCCAGGCTGTTGTGCTGAGGGATGCTTGCAGGCTCAGGCCGAGCTGCCCTCAGGCCCCGCCTTACCTTCCCCGTGCTCGCCAGCATCTGAAGTCCAGAGGGACCCGAGACGGCAGGGGCCTTGCTTATCAGCACTGCCTTGAGCGTATGCACACCCACCCAGGTTGCAACAGTCCCTGGGCTTGGCCTCAGCTTTGCTCTGAAATTGGAGCGGGCAGTGGGAGCTGGGAGAGGCCAGATGATGGGAGCAGGCACTTCTGAGTCTGCAGAGGCTGGAGGACTTCCCAGGCCCTCAGAGCACAGGGATGCCCAGGGCCACAGCTGCAGCTGGGAGGGGCTCCTGCCCCACCAACTCGGGAGCGGGTGGAGCTCCCACCTGCTCCTGGCTCTTGTAGGCTCTGTGGGGCATGCAGCCCCAGCCACGCTTTGTCTGCTGCAGCTGGTGACTTCGCAGCAGCTGCTCCAGGTGGCTACCCCTGCCCTCACTGCCTGGGTGACCAGAGTGAGACCCTCACTCAAACCAAAAAAAAGGAAAATGGGCAAATGTTTTTATAAGTTTGAAACAGGGAACCTCTTTCTCAGTTCATAATCTCTTTGTGGAAAGGTAAATTGATATAATCTTTTTTTTTTTTTTTTCTGAGACAGAGTCTTACTATGTTGCCAGGCTGGAGTGCAGTGGTGTGCTACCCCCGTCTGACCAGCCTTGGGCAGGTGACTTGGCCTGTCTGTATCTCAGTTTTGTCTGTGAAATGCGGGTCATCAAGGACCTACACCTAAAGCTGCTGTGTGACATTATCCACCGTTCTAGAGCTCAGAACAGGCTGCAATAAAAACCAGCACTGTCAGCCAGGCACAGTGGCTCACACCTGTAATCCCAGCACTTTGGGAGGCCAGGGTAGGCAGATCATGAAGTCAAGAGATTGAGACCATCCTGGCCAACATGGTGAAACCCCATCTCTACTAAAAAAAAAAATGCAAAAAGTAGCTGAGCATGGTGGTGCGCACCTGTAGTCCCAGATACTTGGGAGGCTGAAGCAGGAGAATCACTTGAACCCAGGAGGCAGAGGTTGCAGTGAGCCAGGATCGTGCCACTGCACTCCAGCCTGGCAAAAGAGCAAGACTCCATCTCAAAAATAATATTAATAATAGTAAAATTATGAAAATAATAGGCCGGGCATGGTGGCTCATGCCTGTAATCCCAGCCCTTTGGGAGGGCATGGTGGGCTGATCACCTGGGGTCAGGAGTTTAAGACCAGCTTGACCAAAATGGAGAAATCTGGTCTCTACTAAAAATACAAAATTAGCTGGGCGTTGTGGTACATTCCTATGAGTCCAGCTACTTGGGAGCCTGAGGCAGGAGAATCACTTGAACCTGGGAGGCAAAGGGTGCAATGAGCTGAGATCGCACCATTGCGCTCCAGCCTGGGCAACAAGCGCGAAACTCCATCTCTAATAATAAAGGCAGCACTGTCGTTGCTAGCTGTCCATCCCACCACGTATCCAGGTTGGTGAGATATTAAGTGTCCCCACAAAGCAAGCTGTAAAACAACCTGACCGGTGTAGTTACGTTTTTTGAAAAGGTGACTGTGTGAGTCCTCTGATTCCATATTACAAATACGTGTGCAGAGAGAGAGCTCCACCCTGCTCTCCCAGACGCCCGAATGGCTGTGCCTAAGCTTGTAGCAGTGGCACTCCGGGAAGGGGCAGGCGGCAGGCCGGGAGAGCAGGTGGTGAGGAGCACTTCTGCTTTTACTTGATAGCATTGAGCAAGCTCAGCAGTTTCACAGGTCTCCGGCATTCCTTGTAATCTTAACAAGTTTAAGAAAATGTGAGCAACATCAGAAATGTCCATTTCTAGAGCATTCTAATTGATAAAGTTCTGTACAGAGGGCTTTACCAGGCTTAGAAACCTTTGGAGTGGTGATGGTGTGTCTGAAGCTGAGGCTCCGAGACAGCTCCTGTCTCGACATGTGCCCTCTCTCCTCCCTGTGCCGGTCACCCTGACACCAGGCTGCACGCAGTCTCTTCACGGCGGAGAGTGGGAGTGTTTCTCTTGTTTTCTTCCCTGAAAAGAGGTGTCTGGCACCAGCAACCCTCGTGGCTGAGTTGCAAATTCGTTTAAGCTCTGGAATGTTCACGGACAGTTTTGATCACTTTTGGACTCCTGTTAACCATTTCTTCTGCTAACCAGAAATCTAATTCCTTCACTCTGACCAGTGGCAGGAGGTATATGCATCATGGAAGGAGCTTTACACACATCTGCTAAATGCCTGGATGTTTTTTCCTCTAGAGAAACCTGATGTAAAGCAAAAGTCCACCAAGAAGAAATTCGTCATTCCGCACATTATCATCACTCGGGCCTCGAATGAGTCGCTAGTCAGCTACAGTTCCAGCGGAAGTGAAGAGCAGAGAACCATCCGGGAACCTGAGGACTGGGGCCCCTACCGGCGACACAGGACCCCCAGTACAGCAGATGCCTATGATTTACGTTTCAAAAAATAAACGGACACCCTTGCATAGCACCCGTTACTCCCCATGATAGGCGTGTCGGGAACGGTGGCGCTGCCTGAGCAGAACAGCCACCCACCCTCTGGGAAGCCATGTTCCTCTTCTCCAGTGCTCTCTGGGAGGGTCGTACCAGGGCCACCCCAACCCTGTGAGAAGCCATGGCCCATTCTCTAGTGCCATTTGGTCCCGCCTTCCCCAGAGTTGCTGGCGGCTCAGTCGAGGCAGGAGTGACTAGCTCAGAAAGCGAGCTCTGTGGTGACAAAGGAATAAAGGAGTATGTTCCTGTTGGGAGTGGCTGGCTGTGCAGAGTGATGGACAGCAGATGGCGGACAGTGAAGACACTTTCCCTTCACTTCAGGAGAGTGTGGCGTGAATGCTTGGACGTTATGGTGAATGAGATGTTCCACTCATAAACTGGAAGTAAAAAGAAAAAAAGTGATGAGACGCCCCACAAACTTGGGAGTAAGTTCAGATTCTAAGAGCTAAACCTTAAGACGGAACATGCCAGAGCAAAGAGGTGCAGAGAGTCCCCTAACAGGGCCCAGGGCTCCTAGCTTGACTGTACTCTGACTCGGCGTATTAAGAGGCCCCGAAGAAGAAAGTGGGATGTGTTCTGGGGCAGGGGGCAGCGACCACACTTAGATGTTGGAAGTGGCCTTGTCAGTGCTGTCCCGGCTTTCTGGCCCACAGATGAGGGCTCCTGATGGTGGAAGGTCACTGAAGGGTCCTGAGCACAATGGCTGCACCCTCTCCAGCAGCCATCAGGTGAGGCTACATGCTCTGCCTGTGTTGCCTGAGAGAATGCCCTGCCCTGTCTGGAAGGCTCATGCATCTAGTGACAGTGTGTTAGCTTTGTTAGTTTCTAGTCTGGCCAACAGGCTTTTCATGTGATCTCCCAAGATAACGCTTGCTTCAGTGGCCAACAGACCGATGGGACAGTAGCGTGTCCACCAGAGTCCCAGACATGGACTTCTCAGGTATCAGTGGGAGGGAGCCTGCTGCCTGCCACACACATGCAGTTCCAATCTAGACAGGCCCATCTGGCACATACACACATACACAGGCCTCAGGAAATGTGAAGCGCCAATAAAACTCAGGACGCTAATTTCACTGTGCCAAATGAAAAAAAAATAAGCTGAAAGATGAGTCGCACAAGAAGCTGCTTTCTTTTTGTTCCTAAGCAGAGAGCTACAAATAAAATTTCTCCACAGGGAGCTACTCTTTGTTCACCTTAGGTGAAGTGCCAATTTACTGGGCAGCAGATAAAAATATAAGTGACTCTTTCCTACCTGCTCCTTTTCTCTTGTAACGTGGATTCAATGATGTAACCACACCCTCCATCCTTCCCCTTCAGCCCTCTTTTCCCCTTTCAATACTGCAGCCCTCAACATCATCTTTGGAGGAGGGCACAGACCTGGCTCTCAGGTACACATCCTTAACCTTGGTTAAATAAACTAAGTTGAGGGATACCTGTCTGAGATACTTTTTGGTTTACAAATTGGCGACCATGAAGGGACTCAGAGTGTAGGTGGCCCTGAATTTGGCAGGTTTCCTACTGTGCTTAGGACCAGTTTTGGCTGTGTGTATTGCTTAAGACAGTAGGACGATTTGCTGAGCTCTGGGAGCCCCGTCACCCTCCAGAGAGTCTCTGGTCTCCTGAAATTTGGTTGAGGTCTGAGGTTTATTCTGCTGTACAATGCCTTTTCTTTTCCTGGTGTGTAACTTCCAACAAAGAAGATGAGTTTTCCTGCTTTCACGATGATGGGGGCAGGAAGCTTTCCTGGCGTTCAGCCCACATCCAACAGGGAAGGGGAGTTGGAGTTTTTCCTGATTCCAGGACGGGAGACAGTCTAAAGCCTGGGCCCCGTTCCCAGGTAAGTAGCTGAATTGGGGAAATTCTCCTTATTGACTAAAACTAAGATTAACAACTGGCTGGTCTGATTTCTCACCGTTAGGGTGCTCAGTGATTGTATGAATCGTGTGATTATTTTGGTTTGATTTCTCACCGTTAGGGTGCTCAGTGATTGTATGAATCGTGTGATTGTTTTGGTCTGATTTCTCACCGTTAGGGTGCTCAGTGATTCTGTGAATCGTGTGATTGTTTTGGTCTGATTTCTCACCGTTAGGGTGCTCAGTGATTCTATGAATCATGTGATTGTTTTGCTTAACTGCTTTTGGTTTCGTTGTTTCTGTGTTTGCTATTTTTGCGGCTTCAGTCTCTTTCCCATTGGATTTGACCATCTCTCTTAGATTTGAAACTTCCCAATTGTGGGAAACAAGGCCTCTGAATTGGCAAAGTTCCCACAGCTGGGAAAAAGGGAAAACAAAAAAGCGTCCAGCAAAGGGGAAAAAGCTATTGACCTCTTGATGGGTTTATTTGCATAACAAGGCCACCTTTTCGAGCCAAGCCACACTCAGAGTCAGTGTGATCACACTGTAGTTCTGTAGGTAGATTCTGCCATTTTTCCACCGGACAGCCCAGGTTGGATTCCTAAATCCTTTCTGGTTTGAAATTTGTTTAACTTTTGAAATATCAGCAATTTGTTCCAGCTAACAGAAAGTAGTGAGATTTAAATGTTTCTTTTATTTTTTGAGATGCAGTCTTACTCTGTCACCCAGGCTGGAGTGCACTGATGTGATTTTGGCTTACTGCAACCTCTGCCACCCGGGTTCAAGTGTTTCTGCTGCCTTAGCCTCCCAAGTAGCTGGAATTATAGGCGTGGGCCACTGTGCCTGGCTAATTTTTGTATTTTTAGTAGAGATGGGTTTTCACCATCTTGGCCAGGCTGGTCTTGAACTCCTGACCTCGTGATCCACCCACCTTGGCCTCCCAAAGTGTTGGGATTACAGGCGTGAGCCACTGCACACATCCAAAAGGTTTTTTTTTTTTGAGATGGAGTTTCGCTCTTGTTACCCAGGTTGGAGTGCAATGGCGCGATCTTGGCTCACCGCAACCTTCTCCTCCTGGGTTCAGGCAATTCTCCTGCCTCAGCCTTGGAGTAGCTGGGATTACAGGCACACAGGACCCAGCTAATTTTTTGTAATTTTAGTAGAGATGGGGTTTCACCATTTTGACCAATATGGTCTTGATCCCTTGACCTTGTGATCCACCCGCCTTGGCCTCCCAAAGTGCTGGGATTACAGGCTTGAGCCACCATGCCCGGCCCAAAAGGATTTTTTTAAAGAGCTCGATGGTCAAAAGTAAGCTTAATTAAAAGCTAATATCCAACATATTAGCTTAATTAAGCTGTTTGCCACATACACATATACAGAGTTATGCACACAACCTGAAGATGAGCAGGACAGAGAGTTTTCTTGGGGTTGGAACAGTTCTCAGTGGAGAAGGGACCCAAAGGGGGCAGCCCTCTACCTGAAGTTGGGTAGTTCCCAGCTGAAGTCCCCACCACGCACAGCCTACGATTTCATGTTTGACTTGGCATTCATTTTTCATGTCCCTCTAACAGACTCCTGTGTATGTGTAGAAGAGAAGGCACCAGACTTCTATTTGGGAAGAAACTTCTGTTTTTCTTATGGAACCCCAAGAGTGTAAACAGACAGGTTCTTCTCACATCTTAAATAGCTTGCTATTGTATTGTGTTACCTGATTTTTTTTTTTTTTTTTTTGAGATGGAGTTTCGCTCTTGTTACCCAGGCTGGAGTGCAATGGCGCGATCTCGGCTCACCGCAACCTCCGCCTCCTGGGTTCAGACAATTCTCCTGCCTCAGCCTCCTGAGTAGCTGGGATTACAGGCACGTGTCACCATGCCCAGCTAATTTTTTTGTGTATTTTTAGTAGAGACGGGGTTTCACCATGTTGACCAGGATGGTCTGGATCTCTTGACCCTGTGATCCACCCGCCTCGGCCTCCCAAAGTGCTGGGATTACAGGCTTGAGCCACCGCGCCCAGCCTGATTTTTTTTTTTTTTTTTTAACTGAAATAGTTGAGACAGGATTTCTTGGTTGCTGCTGCTTCTGCTGGAGACCTCTGTGGCTGGTGGCGCCCCTACCCAGGCCTTGCCTGGCTCTGGGCTTGCCGCTGGAGGTACTCCACCACCTAGCCCAGCAGAACACACTCACCATGGGATCTGTGCTCAGCCCCATGGCTGGGCTGTGCCTGCCACAGCCTGCTTCCACCTTTGGCATCGGTGTCTGGACGAGGGGAATGTGGTGGCTCCTGAAAACTTGGAGCTGCCAGGAACTCAGAAACCCAAGGACATCACAGCTTGATCGTTCCCATGGCCAGTGGGCTGGTGAGTGGGTTGTCTTACAGGGTCACAGTCCTTTTTGTATCTGTGATTCAGCAGTTCCCAAGTTCTTGTCCCATATCCAAGAAGAATGTAGTTATGCAGACAGCCAGAAGGTGGGCAGAACAGTTTTGTTGAATGGTGGAACAGTTCTCAGGAGAGGGGACCCAAAGTGGGAAGCCGTCTACCCAAAGTTGGGTAGTCCCCCGCTGAAGTCCCTCCCCATGCACAGCCTGAAATTTTATGTTTGACATGGCATTCATTTTTCATGTCCCTCTAACACACCCAGACTGTCTGTCTGCATTTTGAGATGTAAATTTTGCTACCTGATTTTTCACTTAAGCATTCTGCCCTTGTTATGTGAATTTGAGGCTATCTGGCTGGAAATTGCCTAGGACAGTGAAACAGGTTACCAGGAAGGTGGAAACTTAGTTTAAGTGCATTGGTTCACACCTATAATCCAAGCACTTAGGGAGGCCAAGGTGGGTGGATCACTTGAGGTCAGGAGTTTGGGGCCAGCCTGGCCAACATGTTGAAACCCTGTCACTACTAAAAATATAAAAATTAGCTGGGCATAGTGGCAGGTGCTAGTAATCCCAGGTACTCAGGAGGCTGAGGCAGGAGAATCACTTGGACCCAAGAGGTAGAGGTTGCAGTGAGCTGAGACTGTGCCACTGCACTCCAGCCTGGGCAACAGAATGAGACTCCATCTCAAAAAAAAAAAAATCGAAAGAAATTGGAAGTTTAAAATACTAGAAGAAAAGAATGGGTCTTATGAATCTTCTGTGTATCTGATACAACTGTGTATTTATGTGTAACGTATACAGTGTTTCACTACCAAAAATATATAAAAGGCCTTTAATTAATTGGCTTAAAGGAAAGAAAGCACTTACATCAAATACTGTATCAGAAACATTGAAACTGTCACTCAAATGCCTTTTCAAGTTTATGTGACTTCAGTAAATCGTCAATAAATAAGCTGGTTTTAAACGTATTGGTGAAATAAAATTAGAAACGTCTTCAGAATTGTCAACATACATTATTGTTTAGACTTATTGGTCAAGGAGTTTAACATTTATCACTACATATTGTAAATTGTCAAAATTTGGCATGAGGGTTACAAAGCTTGCAACCCAAAAGAGAAAATTCTATTTGCGTAATTTTCCAATAAGTAAGGTATTTAATATTGTTTCACGAAAAGAGCTACATCCTGAGGCATTGGCTGTTGATATTCACTTGGGGTGGTTGGCAAAATATTAAAGATATATTGGGAAAAGTTATGGATTAGTCTCAAACCTCTTGGAAGGCCAAAAGGCTTTATTGGAGCAGGCCAAATGTGGCCAGTTGTTCCACTAAGTTAGGGAGAAAATAGGAATGAGGCTTTCCTGATTAAGTCTGTTTACCCCGTATCGCTTTGTCTCTACTCTGTTTACCGGTGTAAACTTTGTGCCGAATAGTCCTCTCGGGAGGTCAAAGGGGAATTACCCGTTAATAATGTTTACTCAGGGCCTGGAAACGAAAGCTTTTATCATTCATAAAACCACTCTTTTAGCCATGTTAATTATACACAAGCCTGTTGACTTAGGCGTGTTGACTTAGACCCGTTGTTATGAATAAATGCGTGGATGGACAGAGGGTCTTGGTCAGTTGGTTGCACTTCGCCCTCTGAAAGCAGCCACCAGCCACCCCTAGCCCACTTGTATGACTGTGATGGTGTGAGAGCGCATTCATTCATCCATGGTAGAGTCAGGGTCTGCAGGCCAGACTCCACAGGTGGTGGTCGACATCTCAATTGGCATTAAAAAAAAAAAAGAAAAAAGAGAAACATTTGTTCAACCATCAGGTTCTTACTTAGGTAAAAACCTGAAATTCACAGCCTATAAAAATGGTTATGCCAGGCACAGTGTCTCACGTCTGTAACTCTAGCATTTTGGGAGGCTGAGATGGGTGGATCACCTGAGGTCAGGAGTTTTGAGACCAGCCTGGCCAACATGGTGAGAAAAGTCTCTACTAAAAACACAAAAATCAGCCAGGCGTGGTGGTGGGCGCCTATAATCCCCGCTACTCAGGAAGCTGATGCAGGAGAATCACTTGAACCCTGCGGGCAGAAGTTGCAGTGAACTGAGATTGCACCATTGCACTCCAGCCTGGGCAAAAAGAGTGAAACCCCAGCACAAAAAAATAAATAAATAAAGGTTAACAGAGAAATAATTTTAAATGAAGAATGCCACAGTTTTTTTTTTTTTTTTTTTCTTTTTTTGACATGGAGTCTCACTCTGTTGCCCAGGCTGGAGTGCCAGTGGTGCAATCTTGGCTCAATGCAATGTCCACCTCCTGGGTTCAAGTGATTGTCCCGCCTCAGCCTCCCAGGTAGCTAGGATTACAGGAATGGCAATTAAAAAAAATATTTTTAGTAGGACAGGGTTTCACCAAGTTGGCCAGGCTGCTCTTGAACTTCTGACCTCAGGTGATCCACCCAGCTCGGCCTCCCAAAGTGCTGGGGTTACAAGTGTAAGCCACTGTGCCCAGCCTATCACAGTTTTCTTAAGTAATCTAGGTAAACTATTTTTAAAATTAGGTAAACGGAATAAATACTTGTAAATAAGCTTGTTATAATTTCAAATCAAAAGTTATGTTAAATACTAGATACCCATTAAATGTCTAGCTTATTTCTAATTTCTCTTAAAAACAATTATATTTGGCTGGGCGTGGTGGCTCATGCCTGTAATCCCAGCACTTTGGGAGGCTGAGGTGGGTGGATTACCAGAGATCAGGAGTTCGAGACCAGAGTGGCCAATATGGTGAAACTCCGTCTCTGCTAAAAATAAAAAAAATTAGCTGGGCATAATGGCACATGCCTGTAGTCCCATTACTCAGAAGGCTGGGGCAGGAGAATCACTTGATCCTGGTAGTAGAGGTTGCAGTGAGCCAAGATTGCGCCACTGCACTCCAGCCTGGGCAAAAGAGCAAGACTCTGTCTCAAAAAATATATATTTCAGGAAAACATTTTTCTAATAAAGTTCTTATTAAAAGGAAATAAATAGGCCAGGCACAATGGCTCACGGCTATAATCCCAGCACTTTGGGAGGCCGAGGTGGGTGGATCACGAGGTCAAGAGATCGAGACCATCCTGGTCAACATGGTGAAACCCCGTCTCTACTAAAATACAAACAATTAGCTACTCAGGAGAACTGCCTGAACCCAGGAGGCGGAGGTTGCAGTGAACCGAGATCGCGCCATTGCACTCCAGCCTGGGTAACAAGAGCGAAACTCCGTCTCAAAAATAGATAAATAAATAGAAGGAAATAGGCCAGGCACAATGGCTCACAACTATAACCCCAGCACTTTGGGAGGCCGACGCAGGTAAATCACTTGGAACCAGTAGTTCCAGACCAGTCTGGCCAAAGTGATGAAACCCTGTCTCGACTACAAATACAAAAGTTAGCCCGGGATGGTGACACATGCCTGTAATCCTCGCACTTTGGCTCACCTGGGTGGATTGCTTCAGCACAGGAGTTTGAGACCAACCTGGGCCACATAGTGAGACCCTGTCTTTAAGAAAATAGAGATGTGAAGATAGTTATAAGGAGGTATTTTTAGTAGGAACAGTTAAAAGGACAATAAATGGATATGAGAAAGAATATTGTATGGTAAATTTTTGTCCTAAAATGGCTGGTTATTTTGAAAAGAGGGATGGTCTGGATAAAACAGGAAGTCCAGTTATATCGTAAATGGTTTGTGTAACTTGTGATAAAATTTGTTAAAAAGAGGATTTATTTATTTATTTGAGATAGAGTTATGCTCTTGTTGCCCAGGCTGGAGTGAAGTGGTGTGATCTCAGCTCACTGCAACCTCTGCTTCCCGGGTTCAAGTGATTCTCCTGGCTCAGACTCCCAAGTAGCTGGGATTAGAGATGCACACTACCATACCAGGCTGATTTTTGTATTTTTAATAGAGATGGGGTTTTACTGCGATGGTCAGGCTGGTCACGAACTCCTGACCTCAGATGATCCACCCACCTCAGCCTCCCAAAGTGCTGGGATTACAGGCGTGTGAGCCACCATGCCTGTCGAGAATTTTTATTTTTGAGACAGAGTCTTGCCGTGTCACCCAGACTGGAGTGCAATGGCACAATCTCAGCTCACTGCAACCTCTGCCTCCCTGTTTCAAGCGATTCTTCTGCTTCAGCTTCCCCAGTAGCTGAGATTTAGGCACCCGCAACCATGCCTGGCTAAATTTTGTATTTTTTAGTAGAGATGGGGTTTCACCATGTTAGTCAGGGTGGTCTCAAACTCCTGAACACAGGTGTAATTTAAATATCTCCTAAAGGCTCCAGGATATGAATGAAATATCAGAACTCAAAAGGGGAGGCATTTTATTTTCTCTAGGGGCCAATGCAATAGGGTTGTGCAGTGGGGGAGAGACATTGGACCCAACTCCCCATCTTCCTTTTTTTCTTTTTTTAAAAATTATATAGAATGTTTCACAAATTTATGTGCCATCCTTGTGCAGAGGCCAAGCTAATCTTCTCTGCATTGTGCCCATGTTAGTGTGTGTCCTGCCAAAGTGAGCATTATTTTTTTTATAGAGACAGAGTCTTGCTCTGTTGGCCCAGTCTGGTCTTGAACTTCTGGCCTCAAGCAGTCCTCCTACCTCAGCCTCCTAAAGTGCTGGGATTACAGCTGTGAGCCTGGCCTCAGCTCCCTCATTTTCTACGTGCTGATCAAAACCTATCTGAGTGGCGTAGGTTTGGCTATGGGCAGTGGTTTGGGCCCTGCTAGTTCAACTGGATCTCAACAGTGGAGCCAGATGAGAGGACGTGCTGCTTGTCGCTGACCCTGGACCTAGGCACCAACAGTGTTTTCCTAAACATTCCATGTCCACTTTGCTTCCACCTTCCAGGGCTGGGCTGTGAGAGAAGCTGGAGAGGCAGGTGCCTGTGAGGGCGGCTTCTATCAGCCTGGGAGGTCAGGTCTTCCATGAGTGAGGGGAGGTATCTGCTTTGCTGCGTGTCAGGGACTGCTGACACCCAGAAGCTAAGCTTGAATGACACCCCCTCGCAGAGCGCCTCTCCTGTCTTTCGCTTGCTCCTGCTTACTCTGTCACAGAACTTAACAGCATGCACTTGTTTCCTTCAGTTTCCTGAAGCCCCCATGTCCTCAGCACAGAGGAGACACCCAATGCCTGCTGAAGCCCACATCCCTGGACCAAGTGACCTGACCCTCACCTGGAGGACCTTCACCTTCACCTCTCACCTGGAGGACCCCCTCACCTTGGGACCCCCTCCCACCTGGAGGAACCTCTCACCTGGAGAACCTTCACCTGAAGGACCCCCCTACCTGTAGAACCTCCCCACCTGAAGGACACCTCACCTGGGGGACACGCCCCCCCCCCACGTAGAGGATCCTCCCACCTAGAGATCCTTCACCTGGAGGACCTCCCCACCTGAAGATCTCCCACCTGGGGGATCCCCTAACCTGGAAGACCTTCACCTGCATAATCGCCATGACCTCCCAGTCTGGCGCAGCCTGGTCGGGTGCCCCGGCTTCATAAAATAAGGCCGGAACCGTGGCAGTCAGAGCAGGTTCCTGGAACTGATCGCCTAAGGCGGACCCGCGGGAGCGTCTCTTGGTAACCGTTGCTAAGGAGGGGAGGCCAGGAAAAGAGCTTTCGCGCCTGCGCTGCTTGGCCGTTCGCGTCTGCGCCTGCGCGCACGGGAGGCGAGGTCGGAGCTCAGCATGGCGGAGCCTGACTCGGAGTCGGAGCACATCCGTCTGAAGTGCATTCGTAAGGAGGGCTTCTTCACGGTGCCTCCAGAACACAGGGTGCGCGGGGTGCCATCCGGGCAACTCTGCCCGCCTCGCTAGCGGCAGTGCCCGGCCGGGTGCGGGGACTATCGTGTCGCGTTGCGGCGCGGAGGCTTCGGCCCGGGCGGGAACATTCCCAGCTTCCCCGCGGCGGGGGCGGCAGCCGGCACGGGGGCGGGGGCTGGAGCTCGGGACCCCGTTAGCTGAACCTTGGGGGTCTCCGGGGGGCCGGGCGGGCTCAGGGGCACCTGGCGCCACGGACGGACGGGCCCGCGCCCTGGGAAGAGCAGGCTCGGTGATCCAGCTCGGGTGCTGCTGAGTTCTGCGTCCTGGCTGCGCTTTGCAGGCCGAGCCGCGAGCCGCTTGAGTAGCGACAGAATGGACTCGCGCGACGAGTTGGAGCTTGGAGGCTCCCTCTGGGCCTGGGCTGCATCGAGCGGGCGCCAGCGCTGCCTGGTGGCTTCACGCGAGCCCTGGTGCGCGACCCGTGACGAGGTGTCAGTGCCTCACTCTGCAGAAAGGAGAGAGCCTCGGGGCGTGGGGCGATGTTGCCGAGGTGCACGGCTGGCGGGGGCGCGGAGGCTTGAAGTTTGGCCGCTGGGTGGTGGTTTAACTGCTGCCTGGTGCTCTGAGAGGCCATGTGTCCAGTAAGAATCATTAACAGATCGTGACTGGATGACAGCAGGAGCTACACAGGCCTTAGCTGCTCCTGGTACCTCTTTCAGACGTGCAGCAGGCGCTCCCCGAGTTGAGAGCTCTGTGCTGGACGCTGGGGTGAAGCAGCGAGTTGGCATTTTTTTTTTTTCCCAGTTAGGGTCTTGCTCTTTTGCCCAGGCTAGAATGCAGTGGAGTGATCCCGGCTCAGTGCGTCCTCAGCCTCCTAGGCTCAAGTGATCTTCCCGCCTCGGCCTCCCAAAGTATTACAGGCATGAGCCACTGCGTCCAGCTTAGCATGGCATTTCTTTGCGGTTAGGAAGTGTGGCTAGAATTTGGACACCCAGATATAAGGGTGGCAGAAAGAGCACACGCAGACAGGGGTATTAAGGCCGGAAAGGGAGGTCGAGGCAACACTGGAAGAGTGGCAGGCTAGATGATTCTCACTCGGCCCCAAGGTGTCAGGAAGTAATAAGACTGAGGACAAAGCCGGCCAGTGGCTCACGCCTGTAGCCTCAGCAGTCTGGGATGCCCAGGTGGGAGGATTGCTTGAGCCCAGGTTTGAGAGCAAGGGTAGGGTTAAGGGAAGGCAGCCAGAACGTAGGGGCTGTTAGAATTCCAACCTTGCCAACATTGGACGTCTTAGATCCATGGGGAAGAGTGCAGACTCTACTACAACACAGACCCCAAAATATGCTGGCTCAAGTAAGAGGTTGCTTTTTCTCACTCCTCTGACATTCTGGAGAGAAGCAGTTGTTCTGCACGAGTAGGCCAGGCATTCCGGTTCCATCTGTCCTCCCATGGCTGAGGGGAGGAGAAGTGGGTGGTTCCAGCTTCCTTTCATCTGGAAGTCACAGGGTCCTGTCATCTCACATCCGAGGTCAGATGCCACTGGGTAGTGTTTTATAAGTTCAGGGAAGTACTGACATACGGGTGCTGGGATAGCAGCCTCTGCCACAGATGTATTTTTGCATGTGGGATTGAAAGGGAGTAGTTGAGTGGCTGCCTCTGATATTTCAAAGTGTTGGCCCAGTATCATCACCACCTTTTCTCATCAGAAAAGTCCAAGAGGCTGGGGACGGTGGCTCACACCTGTAATCCCCACACTTGGGAAGCCTAGGTGGACAGATCACTTGAGGTCAGGAGCTCGAGACCAGCCTGGCCAACATGGTGAAACCCCATCTCTACTAAAAATACAAAATTAATCAGTGTAGTGGCACACGCCTATAGTCTGAGCTACTCAGGAGGCTGAGGCAGGAAAATCACTTGAACCCAGAAAGCAGAGGTTGCAGTGAGCCAAGATTGTGCCACTGCACTCCAGCGTGGGTGACAGAGGGAGACTCCATCTCAAAAAATGAAAAAAAGTTTAAAAAAAGCCCAAGCGTGTAGTTGCCTTTCTGTTTGGTGAGCAAGACCTGAGCGGGCTCCCTGGTACAAATTACCTTTGAAATACCCATCCTCAGTTGTTTGATCAGCTGTCAAATTTCCACACTCACAACACCCCTTTCTTTCAGCTGGGGCGATGCCGGAGTGTGAAGGAGTTCGAGAAGCTGAACCGGATTGGAGAGGGCACTTACGGCATCGTGTGTGAGTGGCCAAGGCTGGTGGCTGCTGTGACAGTGTGGGACGAGAGCGTTGGGGCCGAAGGGACTCATGCCCCGTGCTCGGAACCAGGGCAGAAACTTGGTCAGGAAGTTAATTCCTGGCGTGATTATCGCAAGCGTTATTCCATTTCTGGATAAACGTAAGCATCAGGTTGCTAATACCCATAATCCAGTGCGTCACTGCAGAGTAGGGTGAACTGTTAGAGAAATAAAATGCAGAACTTTCCAAAAGTATCTGGAGGTGGACACAGTGCTCATGTCAATAACCTCAGCCACTCTCGAGGAGTCCCCTGAGCCCAGGTGTTTTTTGTTAGTTTGTTTCTGAGATGGGTCTTGCTCTAGTGCCCAGGCTGGAGTCCAGTGACGTACTCATACCTCTCAGGCTCTAGCGATCCTCCCGCCTCAGCCTCCTGAGTAGCTGGGACCACAAGCGTGCACCACCACACCAGCTTATTTTTCAATGGGATTTCCTTATATTGACCAGGTTGGTCTTGAAGTCCTGAGCTCAAATGATCCTCCTGCCTCAGCCTCCCAAAGCACTGGGATTACAGGTGTGAGCCACTGACCGGCCAAGCCCAGGAATCGGAGGCTGCAGTGAGCTGTCATCAGCCACTGCACTCCAGCCTTGGCAACAGAGTGAGACCCTGTCTCGAAAAGAAAAAAACAGTGGCTCACGCCTGTAATCCCAGCACTTTGGGAGCCCAAGGCGGGTAGATCAGGAGGTCAAGACATCGAGACCATCCTGGCAAACACAGTGAAACCCCGTCTCTACTAAAATATAAAATTAGCTGGGTGTGATGGCGCGCGTCTGCAATCCCAGCTACTCAGGAGGCTGAGGCAAGAGAACTGCTTGAACCCAGGAGGCAGAGGTTGCGGTGAGCTGAGATTGCACCACTGCACTCCAGCCTGGCGATAGAGTCAGATTCTGTCTCAAAAAAAAAAAAAAAAAGAAAGAGAAAAAACCACACCACACAACTGACGCTTACAACCGCTATGAAATTGTAGCATTATCTTCACACACAATAAGGTTGACCTTTTTCTACACGTAATACCTTATTTGCTTTTAGGAGATTCCAAGAGAGCACACAGCAGTGGTCTGCGTGCTGAGGAGGAGGACATGGAGAGCCTGGAGCCACAGAACTGAGTGGCTGCAGCCAGGGTCCTGCACAGAGCAAAACTGGGCATCCCCGCCCAGGTCAAATGAGCAAATCCCCCAGGGAGCACATGTCTTGGGCTAGAGCTGTTGCACAGAGTGAGAATTGAGTGTCGCTGGCATGAGGTTGTCAGAGGAAAGAAAGGGCACCCCTGTGGCTGAGGGAGAGGCTCCTGTGCGGTGCTGGGGAGCCCACGAGGGCGTCAATGGGACATCATCACAGATGTGTCTCCACTGCAGATCGGGCGCGGGACACCCAGACAGATGAGATTGTTGCGCTGAAGAAGGTGCGGATGGACAAGGAGAAGGATGGTGAGCAGGGAGATGGGGTGCTGGGACCTCACAGTGGGAGGAGGCGGGAAGGCGTGAGTTACCTGAACCCTCCTGAGCGCAACTGCACTGTGGCTATAGGGGCCAGCCTCTGGGAGGGTTCTGCTGTGGCCCAGCGTGTCACCTCCCAGGTCCCCAGATCTCTGCCAGGAGGGCTTTGTGGTCTGTATCCCCTCTTCTCCCTCCTGTCTGGTGAGCCCACCTCTGCAGGCTCAGCTTTGCTGGCTCCTGCACGCCCAGCACCTGCCTGGCCCCAGATGAGTGTCCATGGTGGTTAGAGAGGTGTCCACTTTGTATTTGGTCAAGGAAGAGTTAAAAGTGCTTAATGGGGTGGCCCTGATTCTCCCTGAAGTGGGGACAACTGCAGCACCTGGTATCAGGCGTTCCTGGAGCTCCAAGAGCAGCGGGGGTTGGGGCTTCCCTGTGATCACTGGGTGGGGCTCGCTGAGACCGCCTCCCTCTGCAGGCATCCCCATCAGCAGCCTGCGGGAGATCACGCTGCTGCTCCGCCTACGCCACCCGAATATCGTGGAGCTGAAGGAGGTGGTTGTCGGGAACCACCTGGAGAGGTGCACGATCTCCTGGTCTGCGTCGGGCCCCAGGGAGCACGTGTGTTGGGCTAGAGGCATTGCACAGAGTGAAGACAGCGTCACTGGGCATGAGGTTGTCAGACAAGAGGTGACCCCACCTCACCGCCTGGCTTGACACCCCCATTGTCTGAGGGTGACACGGTTGTCCTGCCCATGTCCCCTCCTGCAGAAAGGGAGGTCCACTTTGACCCCTTGAGAGAAGGCAGAAGGGTGGCATGCATCTTCTCTTTCTTCCAGTATCTTCCTGGTGATGGGTTACTGTGAGCAGGACCTGGCCAGCCTCCTGGAGAATATGCCAACACCCTTCTCGGAGGCCCAGGTGCGTGGCAGAGGGGGCCCGGGATAGGTGGATGGCCTTCATGGGCCCTGTGGTGCACATCTGTAACACACAGGGCCACCTGGGGACTGGTAGAGCACTGCTGCCTCTGCCTCCAGTGTTTCGGTGAGCTGAAATTCCATGAGGGGAATTCCTGTGGTGGGGCATTTGCCGGGAGTGGGCAGCCCCGGGCTGAGAGCCTTGTGAGGGCGCTGGTTTCCCGGGGTGTGGTGGTGATGGCTAGACCTGCTGGCCAGTGTGGGCTGGCTCCCCTGCAGGTTCACCCTGACTGGTACCTCTGACCTCTGACCTCTGATCCTCTGCACAGGTCAAGTGCATCGTGCTGCAGGTGCTCCGGGGCCTCCAGTACCTGCACAGGAACTTCATCATCCACAGGTGGGTGGAGCAAGGCAGAGGTGGAAGCACCACTTCCGATGAGGCCTCACTGCTGCCTCCGTGCATAGTTAGAAGAGCTCAGGGTTCCCGGGTCGCAGCTTGCCTGCTGCTTGCACTCCATTGGTATTTTTTCTAAAATAGAGATGGAGTCTCTGTATGTTGCCCAGGCTGCTCTCAAACTCCTGGGCTCAAGTGATCCACCCACCTTGGCCTTCCAAAGTGCTGGGATTTTAAGTGGGAGCCAACTTGCCTAGCCATGCAGTCCCTTTTTTTTTTTTTTTTGAGACAGAGTCTTGCTCTGTCACCAGGATGGAGTTCAGTGGTGCAATCTGGTCTCACTGCAACCTCCACCTCCCAAGTTCAAGAAATTCTTCTGCCTCAGCCTCCCAGTTAGCTGGGATTACAGGTACATGCTACCATGCCCAGCTCATTTTTTGAAGTTTTTTTAGTAGAGACGGGGTTTCATTGTGCTGGTCAGACTTGTCTCAAACACCTGACCTCATGATCCACCCACCTCAGCCTCCCAAAATGCTGGGATTACGAGTGTGAGCCACCATGCTCAGTCTTTTGTTTGTTTGTTTTGAGACAGAGTCTCGCTCTGTCATCAGGCTGGAGTCCAGTGGCATGATTCTGGCTCACTGCAACATGTGCCTCCTGGGTTCAAGTGATTCTCCTGCCTCAGCCTCCCATGTTGCTGGGACTACAGACGTGCACCAGCACGCCCAGCTAATACTTGTATTTTTAATAAAGATGGGATTTCACCATGAGGGCCAGGATGGTCTCAGTCTCTTGACCTTGTGGTCCGCCTGCCTCAGCCTTCCCAAGTGTGGGGATTACAGGCTTGAGCCACTGTGCATTGCTCCCATTTTTACAAGGGCCCAAACATTAAGAGCATGTGTGGGTTAATGAAAAAATAAAGATACTAAAAAGCTGAAGCATGAGGAAGAGTGCAGGAATATGTGAGCACTGGTGCCGTGGGGAACATCTGATCCTCCAGGCGGCCCTGGCTCTCTGGAAACCACTGCCACTGTCTTTCCATCACAGGGACCTGAAGGTCTCCAACTTGCTCATGACTGACAAGGGCTGCGTGAAGACAGGTGGGTGCAGCTGGTGCAAGCCCTGTCCCCAGATGGCAGCTCGTCAGTCCTCGCTTGGTGATACTCACTCCTCTTTCTGCTGTAGCGGATTTTGGCCTGGCCCGGGCCTACGGTGTCCCAGTAAAGCCGATGACCCCCAAGGTGGTCACTCTCTGGTGAGCTCCTCGAAAGTGTGGTGGCCCCTGGGGACCAGGTGTGCCTGGGGGACCGCTCCTTGGCGATGTCAGGCTGAAGTGACAAATGGGCCTTGAGAATGTCAGGCTCTAGGGCCTGTGCACACTTGTAAACGCTGGGTCTGGGACAGCCTCCCGGGAAACAGCAGGGCTGTCCCAGGAAATGGTGAGCCGGGCACAGTGGCACCAAGGGACCTGCCCAGGTGAGACACACCTTGGCCCAAGGTAGCCTGAAACAGAGCATGGCTGTCAGTCTGTCTCTGGGAGGGAAGACTGCTTCACAGACTAAAGGGTGGGCAGCTTGCGTCCTGCCTCTGGTTCTTCCTCCAGGACAGTTGTAGTAGGCCGAACAGGGTCATGCTTAGCATGGGCTGAACGTCAGGGTTGGTCTTACCCAGGTCCGGACCCACCTACTGTGTGGTCCCCGTCAGAATGGGCTGCTGGTGGCTGGTGTGGCTGTGTGCTAAGGCCCATGGTCCTGGAGACTGGGGACGGCTCTCGCCACCGGCAGCTGTTGCTGTGTGCGCCACCTGGACTGCAGGACTTGGGACGGAGGGTAGTCCCAGCTGGAGCGCTTTTCCAGGCCTACAGACTCTCAGGGAGGCCGGGGCAGGGGAAGAGAGCTGGCCATACTGAGGTGGCGTTTCTGTGTGCAGGTACCGAGCCCCCGAGCTGCTGCTGGGAACCACCACACAGACCACCAGCATCGACATGTGGTGAGTGCCTGTGGCTCCCGTGGCCTCAGGAAGGGCAGGGACAGGAGCTGGGTCACTTGGTCCGTGAGCTCAGCCTCAGGGGAGGAGCAGGAGTGCAGTAGGGTCTTTGCCAGCTTCCCACTCCCAGGGAGGTGGGCCTGAGCCTGGGAACCCAGGAGGAACTGTGAGAACCTAGCTTGCTGTTGCCAGGCCCGGAGCACGAGGTCTGCAGGAGGGACACTTGCCCCTGCCCGTTGTCACCCTGGGAGGCCTGCAGGGCCCAGGAGGGGAGCCCATGGTCCCTGCCTGTTCTCAGTGCCCTTGACCCAGGCTTGCACTGGTGGGGTCAACAGAGGTCTGACCGCAGTGAGGTTCCTGTTCTCTGCAGGGCCGTGGGCTGCATCCTGGCCGAGCTGCTGGCCCACAAGCCCCTTCTCCCCGGCACCTCCGAGATCCACCAGATTGACTTGATCGTGCAGCTGCTGGGGACGCCGAGTGAGACCATCTGGCCGGTGGGTGTCCTGGGCACCCCGCAGCCCCCCGCCCGTGCCCCTGCCCTGCGCACCTCAGCTCCTGCCTCCCGTACCCGCCCGTGCCCCCGCCATGCGCGCCTCAGCTCCTGCCTCCCGTACCCGCCCGTGCCCCCGCCCTGCGCGCCTCAGCTCCTGCCTCCCGTACCCGCCCGTGCCCCCGCCCTGCGCGCCTCAGCTCCTGCCTCCCGTAGGGCTTTTCCAAGCTGCCGCTGGTTGGTCAGTATAGCCTTCGGAAGCAGCCGTACAACAACCTAAAGCACAAGTTCCCATGGCTGTCGGAGGCTGGGCTGCGCCTGCTCCACTTCCTGTTCATGTACGACCCTAAGAAAAGGTGCTGATCCCTGCATGGGGCCAGGGACGCCCACCACCCACATTCTGGGGGGATGGTTTCCCAGAGCCTAACCCACTGCTGCAGAGACGCCCTCCCCAGGCACACACCCCCTCGCGTAGGCTTCTGGCCGCCCATCCAGCCTTTGAGAATCTGTATCATGGGTTGCTCCACCGGGTGGCAGGGGAGGAAGCCAGACTCACCAGCTGGTCACACATGCTGCATTCCTCCAGGGCGACCGCTGGGGACTGCCTGGAGAGCTCCTACTTCAAGGAGAAGCCCCTGCGTGAGTGTCTGGCTTCCTCAGGCTCGCTCGGGAGGGCTTGGCTGGGAGCCCTTTGCCCGGGGGTGGGTGGTGAACTGTCCTGGTGCCGTCACTGACCGCACACCCTCTCCAGGGTAAGAGGACGGGGACATGGAGGTGCAGAGACAGCCCAGGGCCAGGTCAAGAGGCAGTGCTGGACTCAGACCTGGGCCTGCTGCCTGCCAGCCCTGAACCACCCTTCTCCCTACAGCCTGTGAGCCGGAGCTCATGCCCACCTTTCCTCACCACCGCAACAAGCGGGCCGCCCCGGCCACCTCCGAGGGCCAGAGCAAGCGCTGCAAGCCCTGACGGCGGGCCCAGCTCACACCTGCATCCCAGAGCCAGATCTTCAGGTTGGCGGTGTCTGTGAAGGGTGCTGTGATCCAGGCTGACAAGGCACCTGGAATCTGGCTGGTCCCCTTGGCTGGGACCATCCTCCAGTGACCATCACCCTGTCTTCCCCTGAGCCCACTGCTGCCCTAGAAACAGGGCTTGGTTGCAGGGCGACGCTTCAGGGGCTTCCAGCCTGTGCACCCTGGAAGGGTGGGTCTGGTGGCTCCGTCCCCAGCTGCAGGGGTCTCATGAGGCTCTCCGGCCTCACTGTGGGAACCATGGGACCCTGCTTCTTTGGAGGAGTGGCCAGTGCACTTCCCTCTGGTGTCTTGGAGTCGTGGTGGATGCTGGCTTGGGATGAGCAGAACCCAGACCACCTTCTCCCCTTTCAGTCATCAGGAGCTGCCCCCTGCATGGGTCAGCTTTGGTGACCCCAGGTGGGCCTGTCAGGATTCCAGATGAGAACAAGAGGGACGAGGTGTAGTGTGCGGGCCACAAGTGAGGATGCCCCGGGACCCCCAGGAGAACCCTGGGCAAGGGGCCCCGTTGCATCCCACTCCTCACAGAGGCCCCAATGGGAGGCTGCAACACTGATGTTGAGAGGTTTGGTACGCTCTGGTCAGATAAAAACTTTCTTAAAAGACATGGTTTCACCAGCATTTAATGTGCTCTGATGCTGACAGTGCCCTCTGAGTGCCAGGAGGAGAGGAGTTAGGGGAGGGTCAGGAGAGCAGGCTCAGCTTTGGGGTTAGGGAGGTCAGCCCAGAGGGCTGTCGCAGTGGATGTGCCCTGGCCCTCTCTCACCAGACCCAAGAGGGCATTCAGGGCAGAGCCACCTCCTCTCCAGCCTGTGGGCTGCACCCAAGGGAAGGGAGGGTGGGAGCATTGTTACCAGGACAGACCTGCAAGGCCCCTCTGCCCAGTAACAGTGACGCTCAGGGCCTGCCTGGCTGTCAGCTGCTGCCCATTCCGGCAGCTCTCAGGCACCTCCATGTCTGGGCTGAGGTCATTCCCCCTCTGTGAGCCCAGCTGCTGTGACACCCAAGGGGAGGGCCGGTGTCCCCAGAGCCAGGTCAGCCATGCACTGAGCAGAGCCCCCCAGATGGGCCCCAGCAGAGCTTGGGGGGGACCTAGGCGTCACCAGCAGACCCTTGAGGACACTCCTGTGTGGAGAAGACCTGGGGCCCCTGGAGGGCCCCGAAGTCCTGAGCCCTGCACTGCAGGGAGCTGCCAGCCCTGGGGACAGCTTCAGGCACTGGCTGGAACAGGCTGGACCCCTCTACCCAGCACATGTAAACATGGGTCTGAGTTCCGAGGACAGAAATGTGGGAAGGTTCCTGCCTGCCAGCCAGCTGAGACCTGTGGCCATCCAAGCGTTCCATATACAGGGTGAGTCCTGCCTCCAGCAGAGGTTGGCCTGGACTCCAAGCCACTGCTGTGCCCAGGACTCCCCCAGGGACAAAGCAACTAGAGGTCCAGGCCCTAGGAGGCCCAGACCCCTCCCCAGCAAAGAGAAGCACCACGGGAGCTGTCTCCCAAGAGCCCTTGACGTGGGGCCTACATGGCCTAGGGCCGGGCCCCGGGGCTGTTGAAGAGCAGGGTGTCCATCTGTGCACGCTGCAGCCACAAGCGCCGCTGGGCATCGCCAAGCAGCACGCGCAGGGAGTGGCCGGGGCGGCAGGCGGGCAGGGCCGCGCAGTGGGCAGCGTGCAGCTGGCGACATGTGTCGCAGCAGAGGGTGGGCAGGGCACCAGGGGACAGGCAGCTGTGTGCCTGGTAGCCTGGGGGTTCAGAGACAGACCTGTAGGCTGAGGCTGGTACGCCCTCTGCCCGAATGCGCCTGGGGCTGGCCCCCGCAGAGCTTTCGGGAGTGGCCAGGTCTCCAGGCCTACTCAGCTCACTGCGCAGGGAGAGGAAGGAGAAGGCGGAGGATTCGGGTTCCAGCCCCTCCTCCAAGGCCCCATAGGGTGGGGTGCTGGCCTGTGAGAGCTCCTCAGTTGGGGGATCCCAGGCCTGGCCCTCAGGGCCCCACAGTTTGGCACTCTGCTCCCAGAGTGGCGGCCTGTAGGCCAGCTCTGCCGAGGGCGAGTCGGGACCTGGTGATGGCTCCCCATAGAGGCTGGCGTCCTCGGAGCCCTCGTCCTCCTGCAGGTCCCGGTATAAGTCCAGTGGGGGCCTGTAAGCAGCAGGGGAGCCTCGGGGGGGCAGGGGTGGCGGCTCCTCATCCTGGGCCAGCCGCTGCTGCAGCCAGGCCACACAGGAGGCCACATCTCCACTGGCACGCCGCGCCTGCAGCAGGTCCTCAGCTGGGAGCACACTGGTGCCCAGCTGGGCCAGCACCTCACCCAGGATCTCACATTCCAGCCGGAGGGCGAAGCAGCCCAGGGCCACCTGCACCAGCTGGCAGGCAGGGGGCAGAGCAGTCACCATGAGCCGGTGGCTGTCCCTGCGCACGTAGCCCATCTTCTGGAAGCTCTTGAGGAGGAGGTCATCTGACAGCACACCCTTCAGCACGTGCACGTAGCCCCCGGAGAAGGTCTGCAAGAGAGCGACCTGGTCAGCGGACCCCGGAGCACAGCGGGTCCAGGATCATCGGCTCAAGCGTTGGCAGCTTCTGATGCTTGGGCCCAACCCCAGAAACTAGGCTTAGCCAGTCTGGGCCAGGCCCGAACATCACAATTTCTTTTTTGTTGTTGTTTCTTTGAGACGCCATCGCTCTGTCATCCAGGATGGAGTGCAGTGGCTCGATCTCAGCTCGCTGTTGCCTGTGGCTCCCAGATTCAAGCAATTCCCCTGCCGCAGCCTCCCAAGTAGCTGGGACTACAGGCACCCACCACCACACCCAGCTATATATTCATACTTTTAGTACTAAGAGACAGGGTTTCACCCTGTTGGCCAGGCTGGTCTCGAACTCCTGACCTCAAGTGATCTGCCTGCCTCGGCCTCCCAAAGTGCTGGGTTTACAGGTCTGAGCCACCGTGCCCAGCCTAGGATTTCTTAGATTTAATGGAAAAAACAACTAATACATTAACCTGCCTCATGAATCAGAACAAAACAAAGAGCCCCTGTACTGAGAAATGTCATTGTCTTCGTCCCCTGCCACTCTCTTTACCCCTGGAGATGGCTAGTCTAATTAGTTTTGGATGTGCCTGCCCAGGTGTTACTTTGCAAACACAAATATAGATTTTGGTTTGCCCCTCTTATGAGGGGCCCCACCCCTTTTCAAGGTCTCTACCCAAAACTAGAATAGGCAGCCTCTTAAACATGCTGTTCTGAACTTTTCTTCCCGTTACAGTCTTGCAGATGAGGATGGAAGCTCCACCCTTCATTTTCCCCTGCTGCCCTGCGGTGTAGTATTCCACCACCTGGAGGCAACGTGTTTCCAGAGCTCCAGAGGCTGTCCTTGCCCTGGGCTGACAGCCGTAACAATGGTGAGTGCTTTCTAGCCTACAGTTGGGCGAAGAACTAAAGGAGCAGGACAGTCACTGCCTCCTGAATGTAAAATTCCCTAACTCCATGAAAGGGGCACGGCCCACGTGCCTGCCGCACTGAGCTCAGGGCTTCCATTCATTCCTCGGGTCCATGAACTGGACTGTCTTGTGTCCCTGTTTCAGAGGAGGAAAGTGGCTGAGAGAGATGAGGTAACGGCCAAGGCCTCCCGGCCAGGAGGCAGCAGAACTAGGTCCAACCCAGGGGTGCTGGGCACTGAGGCCCGGCCCATTCTCTCGCCCTGCCTGGGAGGCCTCAAAGGCGGACCTGTCCTTCCCTCTCGTGAATGAGAGTTCAGCGGACCAGCAGGTGTCCCCGGGGAGCCGCGCAGAGATTGCCGCTGCCATGGCAACCGGTGGAGGCGTAGCTCGCCCACGTGTGCAGTGGCGTCATCCGCTTCCTACTCTTCCGAATTAGCTCAGAGCTCCGGGCGGCCCTGCCCCCTCCTGCCGCCAGGATCTCACCTGGAGGGGCCACACCGGCCCCAAGCCAAGGAGCTCACTAGGTCTGTGCCCAGCCCTGCACCTTTACAGGGATCCGCCCATCTGCAGTCCTCCCAGCCTCGGCGGCCGCCTCTGCAAATGGGAGTGGCCCATATCCTGGAGGAATGAGGATGACCGCGGGACCTCAAGTCCCTCCTGTGCCCCTGTCCCAAGATTCCCATGGTAGCTGGGGCCGCGAGGCCGCCTTAGGGAAGACACTGACACACGCTCTCGAGCAGGACAAGCCTGCCCTCGCCCACCCATGTTCTCAGCCCTCAGAGTGGGTGCCCCAGCACGCCCCCGACCCCTCGGCGCTCTGAGCCCTGAGACGCCCACCGGGCACTAAGGACGCTGAAAGCCCCTCTCTTCCGACAGGCGTGGTCTCCCTCGACCCGCAGGCCAGGACGAGGAACGCGCTTCCGCGGGCCGGCGCCTACCTTGATGGTGGTGAACTCCTTCCTCCAGGGCAGCAGGTACAGGTGCACAGCGGCCAGTTCCAGCAGCTCGAAGGCGCGGGCCAGGCCGCGCAGCGCGGGCGCCAGGTCGGCGCGGCCCCACAGCCCGTCGGTGAGCAGCGCCAGCGCGTCGTCCTGCAGCGCCCCGTGCAGGTCAAAGTCTTCCACCAGGATCTGCCAGAGCACCGCGCGCAGCGAGGGGTCCCCGCACACGCCCGCGCGTCCCCGTCGCAGCTCGCGCTCCAAGCACAGGCGGTAGTCCTCGGACAGCGAGCTGCTGCCCATCCTGCGGCGGGCGGGGGGTCAGGGACCTCAGGCCGCGCCCTGCTCTCTCCGAGCCCCCGCCCAGCGTCCCCAGGACCCCCCGAGCCTGGAGACCCCGCCCCCACCGGCTGAGCGCCCGAGTATCCTTGGCACCCCCTACTCTGGAGCCCCCGGCGCCATCTGCCCGCCCACCCGGCGATCCGGCCCTCTCCAGCTGAGCGCCCCCGCACCCCCAGCCCCTCCCCAGCCGGGGGAACCTCGGCCTTCCAGGGGCGCCCCGGTTACCGACCGCACCCTTCCCTACAGACGTGCTTCCGCCCGCTGAGCCCTCTCCAGACCAGAGCCCCCTCGCCTGGCAGATGGAGCTGCGGAACTCGCGGGAGATGGCGCTACCTGTCCGTCCACAGCGGTCGCCGGCAGCCACCGCTCAGTTCGGGTCTCCGCGTGCGCCGTGCGCTTCCGCCGGGAGTCGGCTCCGCCCGGGTCCGCGGCCTTGACGCCGGGGGCGGAGCTTGGCTTAGGCCCCGCCTTCAGCTAATTTAGGAGGGGCGGGGCCTGGTGAAAGCCGGAAGGAGGCGGTGTCCCGCCAGGCCGATCACCTGCGCGAGGCGCCCCGAGAGCCTCCTGTCACCGCGTCGCCCGTCGCCCGTCTCCCCACGGGACCCGTGTCTTTCACGACGCCCCAGGGCCGAGGGCTGCGGGCTCAGGGGAGGCGCTCAGTGAAGGTTGTGCCTGGGCCGCTTCTCCCTATGAGACAGGGACCCAGCCTCAGGCGTCCCGGCACAGGGAAGCAGGTGCGCGGGCTCGTCCCCCTCCGGGGCGGGGCCCCCTGCATTGCCTGCGGTGATTGGTTGGATCCTGGAACGAGCCGTTTCTGCGGGGCGGGGCCACCTGCATTACCTGTGGGGATTGGCCGGGCTCGGGGGCGGGCCTCTCCCGCGGGGCGGGGCTATTTGCTTGTGGGCGGTGCCCGTCGCGGAAGGTGGGCGCAAGGACAAGCCTTTTTCAGCCTCGCCTCAGGTCGGTGCCAGGACCTCGGGTCCTATTTCTGCCGCTTCCGCTTACCGGCTTCCCGCACTTGTCATCCGCCGCTCCTGAGAGCAGCGTCTGGGCGGGTCTCTGAGGCAGGGCGAAACTGCCCCCTCTCTACACTAAAAGCTGACCTGGGCTGTGGATCCTTCCAGGCTAAATCTGGGCCACGACCTCCCGGGGGCGTTTTGTTCGCTCGGGTTCCTCCGTTCTGTGCTAAAGACATTTTCTCGCATTGCCTAGGAGAGGAGGATGAGGGAGACCCTTGGGGTCCCAGCCTCGACCCCCCCACCTATACTCCCGCTTTGGGCAGGCTCTGCTTCCCGTCTGTGCCCCTCACCTCTCCAGGCCACCAAAACCAAGGCCCAAGTTTGTTGAAACTTTCCCTGGGCCGCGACGTCTCGTCTCTGCTTTTTCTTAAATTAGTCTTAAAAATACTGTAATCGTGGCCGGGCATGGTGGCTCACACCTGTAATCCCAGCACTCTGGAAAGCCGAGGAGGGCGGATCACTTGAGGTCGGGAGTTTTGAGACAAGCCTGGCCAACATGGTGAAGCCCCGTATCTACTAAAAATACAAAAATTAGCCAGCCGTGGTGGCGCATGTCTGTAATCCCAGGTACTTGCATTGTAACAATCCCCACCTGTCAAGGGTGGGACCAGGTGGAAATAATTAAATCATGGGGACAGCTTCCTCCCTGCTGTTCTCATGACAGTGAGTTCCACCAGATCTGATGGCATGGCAGGAGAATCACTTGAACCCTGGAGGGGAAGGTGGGGCCTGCAGTGAGCCGACACTGCACTCTAGCGTGGGTGACTGAATATGGTTTGGGTCTGTGTCCTCTCCCAAAAATCTCATCTTTTTTTTTTTTTTTTTTTTTTGAGATGCAATTTCACTCGTTGCCCAGGCTGGAGTGCAGTGGCGCAATATCAGCTCACTGCAACCTCCACCTCTCAGGTTCAAGCAATTTTCCTGCCTCAATCCAAGTGGCTGGGACTAAAGGCATACACCACCATGCCCGCCTAATTTTGTATTTTTAGTAGAGACCGAGTTTCTCCATGTTAGTCAGGCTGATCTCAAATTGGTGACCTCAGGTGATCTGCCCTCGTCAGCCTCCCAGAGTGCTGAGATTACAGGCATGAGCCACTGAGCCAGGCCTCAGAATCTCATCTTGCATTGTAACAATCCCCACCTGTCAAGGGTGGGACCAGGTGGAAATAATTAAATCATGGGGGCAGCTTCCTCCCTGCTGTTCTCATGACAGTGAGTTCCACCAGATCTGATGCTTTTATAAGGAGTTTCCCCCTTTGCTCGGTGCTCATTCTCTCTCCTGTCACCCTGTGAGGCACTGCCTTCTGCCATGATTGTAAGTTTTCTGAGGCCTCTCCAGCCATGTGAAACTGTGAGTCAATTAAACCTAACTTTTTTAAAAAAATAAATTACCCAGTCTCAGGCAGCTTTAAAAAAACAAGAAACCAGGCCGGGCGCGGTGGCTCAAGCCTGTAATCCCAGCACTTTGGGAGGCCGAGGCGGGTGGATCACGAGGTCAAGAGATCGAGACCATCCTGGTCAACATGGTGAAACCCCGTCTCTACTAAAAATACAAAAAATTAGCTGGGCATGGTGGCGCGTGCCTGTAATCCCAGCTACTCAGGAGGCTGAGGCAAGAGAATTGCCTGAACCCAGGAGGCGGAGGTTGCGGTGAGCCGAGATGGTGCCATTGCACTCCAGCCTGGGTAACGAGGAACTCCGCCTCAAAAAAAAAAAAAAAAGATGAGGTTGTTCTGTGTCGGCATGGGCCCTAAATCCAGCGACTGCTGTCCTTCTAAGAAGAGAGAAAAATAGATGAACCTCAGGAGAGAAGACAGCCTGAAGATGGAGGCGGGACGAGAAGCCATGAGCTAAGGTACCACCAGCTGTGTTCGACACCAGAAGCTGGAGGCAAAAAGTTCTCCCCTAAACCCTCCAGAGGGAGTCGGCCTGCCTGCAGCTTGATTTTGACTTGAGGCCTGCAAATGGTGAGAGAGTACATTTCTGCTGGTTCAGGCCACCCATCTTGTCGCTCTGGCAGCACCTGGAGACCCATCCAGGCCTCACGTTGTCATTGTGATAACCCTGACTGGGGTCCCAGACGACAGCCGGCACCAACCACAGACAGCAGGCAGCTTTTCGGATGAATGCGACCCCCAGTCACTGGGTTGCCACCTAGAAGCTGCACCTAGAGCCACCCAGCTGACTTCTGTATTTTTTTTTTTCTTTTTTAAAAAATTCAATACTGAATTTTTGTTTCTGTTTTTTGTATTTTTAGTAGAGACGGGTTTCACCACATTGGCCAGGCTAGTCTCAACCTGCTGACCTCAGGTGATCCACCCGCCTCGGCCTCCCAAGGTGCTCAGCCTAATTTTTAATTTTTTAGTAGAGATGGGCCTTACTATGTTGCCCAGGCTGTTCCCAAACTCCTGGACTCAAGTGATCCTCCCACCTGAGCCTCCCACGGTGCTGGGATTCCAGATGTGAGCCACCATGCCCGGCCTAGTGTGTACTTCAGCCCATGAGTTGTGGTAGTTTGTTACCCAGTGGTAGCTACATGCGTTCCCCAGTGGTAGCTACATGCGTTCCCAGCTCCCTCGCGCCCACCCAAGGACACTCTGTGGGCTGTGCGCGTTCTCCCCTCCTTCCGTGACCTGGGATGGACACTCCATTATCTCGACCACATATGAATACGCGTCGTCTAAAACTGAGGTCAGCCTTGCTAGGTCAGAGCGTCCGTCTACACTTTCCTGTCCCAGGACTGCACCTGGTCCTCTGGGGCCACTGCCCTGTCCACCCCACGGTGCTCCAGTTCCCTCCCAGCCAGACGCACCATCCACCAGCTTCCTCATCTTCTGTGTCCAGTTGATACAATGCTAAATCGTACTTTTCCTTTGATTTTTGTCACAAATTGAACGCTGCTGCTTATGCAGAGTAGCTTTTCAATATTTATTTATTAATTATTGAGACAGAGTCTTGCTCCGTAGCTCAGGCCAGAGTGCAGTGGCGTGATCGCAGCTCACTGTAATCTTTGCCTCCTGGGTTCAAGCGATTCACCTGCCTCAGCCTCCCAAGTAGCTGGGCTTATAGGCACGTGCCACAACGCCCAGCCAATTTTTGTGTTTTTTAGTGGGCACGGGGTTTCTCTGTTAGCCAGGCTGGTACTGAACTCCCAACCTCAAATGATCCGCCTGCCTCAGCCTCCCTAACTGCTGGGACTGCAGGCATGAGCCACCGCACCCAGCTATTACGTTTTCTTTTCATTTATTTTTTGAGACGGAGTTTCACTCTGTTGCCCAGGCTGGAGTGCAGTGGCACAATGTCAGCTCACTGCAACCTCTGCCTCCTGGGTTCAAGGGATCCTCTTGCCTCAGCCTCCCCAGTAGCTGGGACTACAGGCATGTGCCACCACGCTTGGCTAAATTTTTTTGTGTTTTTAGTAAAGATAAGTTTTCACCATGTTGGTCAGGCTGGTCTCGGAGGGTACCACCCCCCCGGGCACCGAGGAAGGAGAAATGTCCAGAACCCAGGCACAATTAGTGCCTGAAGAATATCTTAGTTTATAGTGTTATTGCTCAGCTATTTCCTTTATTTAATCCTATATATATATAATCATATATTAGTGTATGGAATTAGTGCCTGAAGTATAACTTACTGCTTACATATATGCAGTTTATACAATCATACTTAGTACTTATATGTAGCATACTTAGTTCTCTATAATCTTTCTATATAATCATACAGGTATTGTAGTCGGAGCTGTATGGACACATTTAGTGCTGATTTATAGAATCCTTGTTTATAACCGTATAGTAGTTTGTAGTAGGAGGAATGCCCAGAGCAGTCACAGAACAGAAGCAGCACATGGGAAAACAGCCAGACCAGGACAGGAACCAAAGACCCCGGCGGTGGCGTCCCTGCCTGAAAGGGCAAACGCTGTATGGCAGGCTTGGAGCAAGAGCCTTCCCTCCTGATAGAGGAGCTGTGGCACCTGCATCCAGTTCCTGTGGAAAGTCAGCCTCAGGCCTGAGATCCTGGAAGTAACCGAGGGAGAAGAACCCTCTGGTGTGACCAGTCACGGCTGCTGTCCACCCTGTCAGTCTTTTCTCACTTCTGTGCTGGCTCAAATCATCCTCCCATAAATATCTTAGAGAAGAGCACACGTCTGTCAGCTCCCACTGCCGTGGCTTACAGAATCCTTCCATTAGAAACCCTTTGAAGTCTCCAGCCCCCAGATAAGAAGTGCTGCACACAGCCCACCTACTTACCTCGGTGACCTAATGGGGTGGACCCCTTTTCTGTACACGACCCTCTACTAGTGCACATGGCACGGCCTCCTACTGCACACGGCCCGCTTCTCTTGACTAGGTGATAATGGGGTGGCCCCTCGCTTGTGACTCACGTGATGATGTATGCCCTATCACTACGCCTACAGATGAAGACCTCACTCGTGACCCTGCCCGCTGCTTGTACCTAATAAATACAGATGCTTCTGCGCATTTGGGGCTCTCACTGATCTCCGCTTACAGGTGGCGTGGCCCCCCAAGTCCAGATTCTCGTCACCAGTTCTTCAGTGTCCTATCTCTCTACTTCTCAGATCCTGCGCCTCAGCACAGCACAAGGGACGCCCCACGACCCCGTGGGGCCCTACAGCCCTACAGGTCTCGAACTTCTAACCTCAAATTACAGTCATGAACTACTGTACCCAGTTCAGAATAAATCTGCTTCCTCTCTGTAGGGCTGAGGGCCCCACAGGGTCGTGGGGTGTCCCTTATGCTGTGCTGAGGCGCCGGATCCGTGAAATAAAGAGACGGGACACAGAAGGACAAGGAAAACGCAGCTGGGCTCAGGGGGCCACACCATCTATGAGTGGAGTCAGGTGAGGCCCCGAATGTCCAGAAGTGTATTTATTGTGTATAGGTTAGCGGGCAGGGCAGTGAGTGAAGTCATCTTTAAGAGATAGGGTTGTGGGTAATAAAACAAGGGGTCCACCCCCATTAGGTCACCTCGGTTGGGAGGTGGGCCGGGTGCAGTGAAGAGGGTGCAGTGTGCAATACCTCTATCTATGGACAAACTACTTCTAAGAAGATTTATGGGAGGATGCTTTGAGTCACACAGCAGTGACAGAGCTGTCAGGGTTACCGCCACCTGCCGGCAGCTTCCAATGGGTTCTATGGGCAGCACAGTAGCAAGAGCTGATCGAGTTCACAGTCACCAAGGTGGATTGCCGGTCTGAGGGCGGCCTCCCACGAGAACTGGAGCGGGGTCCTACAAGTCCTTTATCAGGAGGAGTGGCTCTCGCCCCAAGCCTGCCACACAGCGGGTATCTTTACGATACTGAACGCTGCCGCCTGGGCCATGGATCCTTGTCCTGGTATAACTGTTTTTCCCTTAAATCATGCTCTGCACTGTGTCTGCTCCAGGCATTCCTCTGATTATAAGCTGTTTATTCCTTAATTCATGCTCTGCGCTGTGTCCACTCTAGGCATTCCTCTGATTATGAACTAAGATATATATATATGTAGGGAAATATTTTTTACTATGAACTATTATATGATTCTATATAGAGGATTATATAAAGGGAAGTAACTGGGTAGTAACACTATAAACTGAAATAATCTTCAAGCCGTAATTCTATAAACTAATATGTGTTTATATAAAGGATTATATAAGGCTGGGCGTGGTGGCTCACACCTATAATCCCAGCACTTTGGGAGGCTGGGGTGGGTGGATCATGAGGTCAACAGATTGAGACCATCCTGGTCAACATGGTGAAACCCTGTCTCTACTAAAAATACAAAAAATTAGCTGGGCACAGTGGCGCGTGCCTATAATCCCAGCTACTGAGGAGGCTGAGGCAGGAGAATTGCTTGAACCCAGGAGGCGGAGGCTGCGGTGAGCCGAGATCGCGCCATTGCACTCCAGTCTGGGTCACAAGAGGGAAACTCGGTCTCAAAAATAAATAAATAAATAAAGGATTATATAAAAGGAAATAACTGAGTAGTAACTCTATAAACTGAGACATTTTTCAGGCCTCACTGTGCCAGGGTTCTGCTTAGCTCTCCTTCCTCGGGGCCTATATTGGGGTTACCACACTCTCCACATAGCTTGTTTGTAGCCTTTGCTATTTTTCTAATGGGGGTTCTTGGTTTTTTTCATCTGCAAGATTTCTAAAAGGAAGCCACGATTATTCACTCCTGTCTTACGGGGGAGCCACAGGCTCAGGAGGACAAAACTGCACAGCAAGCAGCAGCGCCTGAACACGCCCGCCTGATCCCATGCCAGGGAGACAGCTAACCCAGCAGGCTCCCGGCCCTCATGCCAAGCCAGCAGGTGCTCCCATGCCAAGATTTGTTCAAGACACAGCTCATCCCTACCATTCTGTTAAGTGGACTTTAAAATCCCATCTTCTAGACACCAACGCTGAGGCCTGAGCAGCGCTCCTACCCAAGCCCCAAGGCACCATGGCCAGCTGGGGTTCACGTCGAGGGCTGAGGCAGATGCTCCAGCTCGCCCCCACCTGGAGAGGCACTTCTTCTGTCTCCCCACGGAGTCCTCAGGGGTAAACCAGCCACTGCCGAGGGTGCAAACATCCCAGCAACCCCACGGCCACTGCTTTTACGACCCTTTCCCTGAGGACGCCAGCACTGCCTCAGAGCCAGCTTCCCCACCCCCCAGCCCTGCACCTGCCCCCCTACAACCGGCTCCTGGTGGCATCTAGGGTTGGGACTCCCCCTAGCCCTGCTCCTGCTCCCCCCACAACCAGCTCCTGGTGGCATCTAGCGTTGGGACGCCCCCAACCCTGCTCTTGCCCCCCCCACAACCAGCTCCTGTTGGCATCTAGCATTGGGATCCCCCAACCCTGCTCTTGCCCCCCCCACAACCAGCTCCTGTTGGCATCTAGCGTTGGGACCCTCCCAGCCCTGCACCTGTCCCCCCCCCCCACAACCAGCTCCTGTTGGCATCTAGCATTCGGACCCTCCCAACCCTGCACCAGCTCCCCCCACAACCAGCTCCTGTTTGTATATAGCTTTGGGACCCCCCCCAGCCCTGCACCTGCCCCCTCCCATGGCATATCAAGCTGGCGTGGGCTCCTTCCTTGCACAAGCACTCTCCCTCCATGACCTGCCCACAGCTCCCTGGCATATGCTGTCCACACCTGGCGCCACCTGCCTCTTCTGCACATCAGGGCTTCTGTGTGTCCCCATGCACAGAAGATGATGAGTCCTGAGACCCTCAGGTGAGTGCTCTGGACTCGGGTCCCCAGGGACACCTGCTCTCCCCCACACCAACGCCCTGCAGAGCTCGCCTGTCCTAGAGGGTGAAGCCCACACCTGCCAGGGCAGGCAGTCTCAAGATGACCCTGCTTCTATGCAGAGGGTCTCAGAGGCTGGCAAAGGCACAAGAGGTTGAGCCAGGCTTGGTTTGGGGCTGGGCTGTGGCTCCTCCCCACCTGTCCTCAGTGGCCTCTGCCATGGGCAGCAGGGGTGGGGACTGAGGGAGCCACACAGAGCAGGACAGCAGTGACCTCTTTATTTTAGGCTGCACGGACCTGGAGAAGATGCCCAGGGTGGGAGTTTGCCAGGAGTCCCAGAACGTTCACTGCCCACTGCCAAGGTGAGCAAGGGCAGGGAATGTCCTGGGCTGAGAGTCCCAGACCCCCCAGGGATGACCCTGCTGATCAGCATAGAGCTCAGCCAGCTGCGCCTCAGGCCCCAGCCAGCCCTTGCTCCTGACCCAGACAAGAAACTGCTTCATGGGGTTACAACTCCCCTTTCTAGGGGCGGGAGGGAAGAGAAATTGGACTGCTGCCTCCACTGCTGGCTGGCTCATGGCCCCCTCTTTCCTGATGCTTCCCAGGAGCTGCCCCAGTGAAGGGCAGAGCAGGACCCAGCCAGACGCTCATGGCTGAGCCTGCACCTGCTGGAGCCTGTGGCTTCCCTTCTCAGCCTGTGACACTTGCACAGGAGAGCAGGGCTGGGTTCCTCCTGGAGGGGCTTCAGACCCATCCTGTTGGGGCAGAGGTGCCAACCCCAAGCTCCAGGGTTAGATGTGGGGTGAGGAAGGGGCAAGAGCTGGAGAGCCCACAACACGGACCAGCTCCCCAGTGCCCTCGCGCCGTGTGCAGAGCAGTCTGGGGCTCCAGGGCGGTCCTCGGTAGGCCCGTGGCTCTAGGTGCGGGAGGTACAGCCCTGGGAAGCAAGGCCGGGCCCTGCCAGAGCCCTGGGTCTGGCTCTACTGCTTGGCCAGGCCTCCCCGGGGCAGCAGCTCCACATAGCTCAGGGCACTCTGCAGTGATGTCAGGCAGTAACCCTCCTCTCCGATCAGGTACCTGCACAGATGGCAGCAGGCATCACCCGGCCTCCGGAAGGCAGTGTCTGCCTTCCCAGTTCAGGGCCTGGGTGGTGCGGGTGCGCAGGTGGGGCTGTCAGGGTGGCTGGGCTGGAGGAGGCCTTTCCCACCCGCTCTGTGCTTGCCCTTGGACAGCAGAGCCAGGGATGTCCCTCGATCCCCTGACTGTCCCCTCCCCAGGAAGACACTGCTCAGGGGGTGGCCCCCAGCGCCTGCTGTGAGAGAGGCTGAGCTAAGCAAAGGGCCATGGGGCATGAGGCAGCAGGCACACTACACAGGGACACCCGTGGGGGCTGCCTGAAGGCAGTACGGCTGTGACGAAGTCACTGCCCTCACCGGCTGCCACTGACAACCACCCTTCAGGCTGAGGGACAAGGTCCCCACTCTTCCCACAGAGGCGCCCACCCTTCCCCCACCGGGTTCTACCCCTCGTGGATGAACTCCTCCAGGGCCGCACACTCCGACACCAGCTGAGGGAGGCCACTCCTCAGCACCACGAAGGAGAGGATGGGCAGCAGGTCGTCGGCACCACTGTGGGAAGGGCATGGCAGCTGTGACTGTGGGCCGGGCCTCTTGCTCCGTAAACCCAGCGGCTGTGCAGCCGTCCTGGCCGCAATCTCTGTGCCTCTTGCCCAGTGGCCCAGGAAGCCACCTGGGAGTGGCAAGGCTGTGCCTAAATGGAAGCTCCCGCTCTGCTGAGCAAGGGCTGGGCCCACACTCAGGGCCTTCCTGCTGCTACAGCCCAGCCGTGGCACGAGGCTAAGGGTTGGGAAGACAGCCCCTCCGATGCCCCGTGCTTTTCCAGGGCCCTCCTCCCTGGCCACACTTCAGCCTCCTGGGACTCACATGGCTGCTGCAGCAATGGGCTGGGGTCCGGCCTGGGGTGTGGCCTCTGAGGTGGGGCAGTAGTCTTCTGCGCAGACACAGATGACCCGCAAGGTCCGAACTGCGCCACAAACATGTGGCTTCAGGGGCAGTTGGGGATGCCACACGGGGACCCGACAGGGATGGGAAAGCGAACCCAGGCCGCTGCCCCATCTGGCAGCCTGAGCCCCCTCACACCCGCCCACTTACCCACCTCCCCACCCACCCACTTCCTGATGTGCAGGGATGGGAAGAGCTGCCGTGACCCTGGGGTACTGTTCTGACACCACTTTTGTCCTGGTCCCACCCACCCTGCACGTGACAAGCTCAGTGCTGAAGACACAGGCTCCAGGTCACCCACCGGGATGGGAGCCTGCCTCTCGAACCTGCTAACCTATGCACTCCAGCTTCTTTTGGGGGCAGCTCTCCAGGACCAGCAGTCCAAGCTCCTGGGCCGCAGCACAGTAGGGGTAGGTCCCCTTGGCCTCCGGGTCCTTGGGGAGGAGCTTGGTGGGGATGCCGATGGCGGTGGGGGGTGCATTCCTGTAGAGCTCCATGCTCCTGCTCAGAGCGGCCTCCCGGGCTTGGTGCACGCTCCTGGGGCAGGGAGAGGCCAGGCTAAGCCGCCCCAGGGATCCTGCCCTCGGGACAGAGGCAGGGTTGTGGCCGGAGGTCCCTGGAGCTCTCCCGGAGAAAACTGGCTATGTGTCCCAAGCAAAAAGCCTCAGTGTTCCCAAGGTCCCAAGCATGGGAGGTGGGCACAGCCCTACCTGCAAACTGGAGGCCCCTGAGGATGGCCTCGGGGTAAAGCATAGGCCAGGGCAGCAAACACGAGTCTTGGGGATTGAGTAGAGGAGTCTGTGCCAGGGAACAGGGCAGGCCTCCAGGGGTACTGGGTGGGCAGACGCCAGGCCATGTGGGAGTGAGCCTGTACCTGTACAGGGCTAGCAGCAGAGGCCACAGCGGGGAGAAGAAGGGCTCCTCTATGCACGCCAGGCAGCGGTCCTTGGAGGCAGCTGTGTTGAGGCCTTCGAAGGCCAGAAGGGTCAGCGAGAGCAGCCTGTCTGCTGGGAACAGAGCCGGGGACATCCACACAGGCCCCCCTCCCCTGCTGGGTTAAGTGGCTCGAAGCCATGGGGCCTCCTCTGCTGAGCAAGCTCTCTGAGGAGCAGGGCAACCTGCAGGGTCCAGGAGCAGCGGGGAGGCCCTGTCTGGTCCTCTTTCCACCAGCTTCCAGCCTCCTGCACCCACCCCGATGCTCCTGGGCCCAGGGCAGGGAATCTGGGAGCAGAAATTGTCACCTATAGCTGCTGCCCCCTTCGGCCAGTGGCCTGAGAAGAGAATGGAGGATGAGCCCTTTCTCAAAAGGGCCTTTACCCAAAACTGCAGGAACCAGGGTAGACTTTAGAATCAGCCCCCTGCGGGTGGGGGCCCTGAGCAAGGCCCTGTGTGTGGGCAGCACAGCCAGAATGGTGCCTTGGGCTACTGGCCTCCCTCACTGGTTCTTAGAGAACCCTAGGCCAGGCGTGGTGGCTCACACCTATAATGCCAGCACTTTGGGAGGCTGAGGCAGGGGATCACCTGAGGTCAAGAGTTTTGAGACCAGCCAACATGGTGAAACCCCGTCTCTACTGCTCCATTTCCAAAATGAGAAGGGCTGAGGCATGGGGCCATCACCACCTGCAGGCTGGGCTGGGTGGACACAGTCTGATCAGAGGCTCTGACTGACAGGTCTTTCCCAAATAGAAGCTTGAAATGGACCAACAAATGGGTGAAGAGCCGCAGGCCCTCCCGCAGTGAGGGCTGAGGGGGGCCTGGGACGTGGAGGCCTGGCCTCACCGATGGCGTTGTGGATGTCCTCCACCGCGCTCTTCAGCTGCTGCAGTTGGGGCTCGGGCTGCCCGCCATGGCCCTGGGCCCGGCCCTGCCACTCAGACGTCCCCAGGAACTGCTCCAGGTCCTCAAACGAGCTGTCCTTGTCCGGCAGGCCAGACGCAATGTCCCCAACAGGTGAGGGAGGCCCCGTGGGGTGGGGGTGGAGTGGGGGTGTGGGGGGGCTGTCCTGGGGCCACGGGGCTGTGCTGGGCTCACACGGGGACAGCATACAGTGGAGGCTCTGCGAGGGCCGCAGCCGCCGGCTTCCAGGGTTGGGGGTCAGGGGGCAGCAGCCCGGGGCTGGCGCAGCTGCCCTGCTCACTGCAGGGTACAGGGTGCTGTACACTGCACACTGCAGCCGCCTCAGGAGCTGCACAATCGGGTGGTCAGGGAGGCTGCGGGAGAGGAGGGCATGAGAACGTGGCCAGCCTCGGCCTCCCACCGCCTGTACCGCCCTCCCGGTGGCACCCACCAGTCTACAGAGGAGCCGTGCTATGCCCGGTTTAGCGAAGTGACCCGCGTCACCTCCTGACAGTGAATGGACTGCAGAGGTAGAAGCCGAGGAAATGCCCTCAGCCTGAAGGGAGCTGTGGTGTCCACGTGGCTGGGGCACAGGGTCCCTGGGGCAGCGCGGCAGCCTCGTCCTCGTCAGTCCAGTGCCTCCCCGGCACCCAACCCACACAGGGGCTCAGTGGTGCCTGAGGCCCAGCTACCTGAGCAGGTGTGACAGCAGGCTGGTCACCAGCGACAGGTCCCCCGGGCTCCTCTTAAGCTTGGCCTTCCAGTGCTTCGGCCAGTCCTGCGGGACAGGGGGCCTTGGAGGGAAGCATGTGGGTCCCCACGACCAGACGCACCCCATCTCCCACCAGTGCCTGCCCCAAGAGACTGTGGGAGACCGTCCTGGGGTGCAGGAGACCCAGCACCAGCAGGCCACGCAACCCACTCCCACCAGAGGGAGAACCTACTTGAAGCCTGGCCCCCTCACCAGGTCCTTCCCACGCAGCCCTGGCCCCACCCGCCTCACTGGGACCCTCCTACAAATCCTGGGCCCTGTGGGCCGGAGAGGGACGCACGTGGTCCTGCTCGTACTCCAGGATAGCTGCGTAAAGTGCCCGCTGCTCCCGCTCCTCTGGCGTCAGGGCGACCTGGCTACAAAACCTCCTGGGGGAGAAGGTGCGCGGTGGGTCCCAGGGCCGGGGCCGGGGTTGGGCTGGGCTGTCTCTGCAACGGGGAACCGGGCAGGAGTCGCACCTGTTGGCGGCCTCCTGGAGCCGCAGCCGGCGCTCTTCCATCTTCCTCTGGAGCTGGGTGCGGAGTCAAGGGGACGAGCGTTGGATCTGAGCGGGCTCTCGGCCCCCACCCCCGCCCCACACCTGCAGCCACACCCCGAGCAGCCAGGAGGTCCCAGGGACCCCCTCAGTGAGGGGCAGTCCCCAGGAAGTCTTCTGGGGCAGAAGGCAGCCTGCGCTGAAGCCAGGAGGGCAGAGCCAGAGGGCCCGGGGAATAGGGGCGGGGACCTTCCCCAGAGGCCATCCCTCTGCAAAGCGGGAAGCCCCCCAGCCCCGTACCCTGACCCTGGAACCTCCGCTACACTTGCTACCCTAGTCTCTGCCTTTGGCTCATGGCCACACTGAGTTCTCCCCAGAGACCAACAGGGTGGTCAGAAAGGGTGCTGTCTCCTCCCGGGCTTTGGCGATCACCAGGTTCTCCATCATCTGCCGCTGTAGAGAGAGGGTCTGGGAGAGGAAGGAGGGAGTAAGGCCAGCCCCCCTGCACCGCCAGGCCCTCCCTAGGCCCCACTCACCAGGGATGTCTTCTGCATAGCCTGGCTGGGGTCTAGTCGGGCCATCCGGGCCTCATACGCAGCCTTCAGCTTCTGATTCTGCAGGGAGGCTTCCTCCAAGGGCGTCAGCTCTCTGGAAATGTGACAGCTGCTGTCTACACCCCAGGAAGCCCAGTGGTGTTCTGGCTACAAAAGGACCTTCTCTCATCCTCCCTGTTGTCTCCAAAGCCAGGAGGTGAGGAGATGGAGGAGGGGAGGCAGGGAGCCACCTGGGGTGGGCTGCAGCACCTGTCTCTTCTCGTCTGCACTGCCAGTACAGTGATTTTGGCCAGGCACAGTGGCTCCCTCCTATAATCCCAGCACTTTGGGAAGCCGAGGCGGGCAGAGTACCCGAGGTCAGGAGTTGGAGACCAGCCTGGCCAACATGGTGAAACTACATCTCTACTAAAAACATAAAGATTAGCTGGGCATGGTGGTGCACACCTCTAATCCCAGCTACTCGGGAGGCTGACACAGAAATGCTTGAACCTGGGGGAGCAAGGTCGCACTGAGCCGAGATCCAGCCACTGCACTCAAGCCTGGGCGATAGAGGGAGAGTCCATCTCAAAAAAACAAAAACCACAGGTTTTGGTATTGCCAGGACTGCTGACTTTCCAAGAGAAGTTGGACCACTGGACCAACAACTAATTCCTGGAGATTAGTTACGTGTGTTCAGCAAAACATGAATCTTGTCAAAGCAAAAGCTTGTGCAACCCAAGGGCTGGAAGACATTGAATCCAGCCCAACACAAATTCCTAAACTTTCCTAAACCATCACTGAGGGCCGGGTGCGGTGGCTCATGTCTGTAACCCCAGCTCTTTGGGAGGCCAAGGCAGGCGGATCACGAGGTCAGGAGATCAAGACCATCCTGGCTAACACGGTGAAACCCCTTCTCTACTGAAAATAGAAAACAGTAGCTGGCCGTGTTGGCACAGGCCAGTAGTCCTAGCTACTTGGGAAGCTGAGGCAGGAGAATCGCTTGAACCCTGGAGGTGGAAGTTAGATTTTTTTGGTTTGAGACGAAGTCTCACTCTGTCACCCAGGCTGGAGTGCAGTGGTACGGTCCTGACTCACTGCAACCTCCGCCTCCTGGGTTCAAGCGATTCTCCCGAGTAGCTGGGACTACAGGCATGTGCCATCACACCCAACTAATTTTTTGTATTTTTAGTAGAGACAGGGTTTCAACGTGTTGGCCAGGCTGGTCTCAAACTCCTGACCTAATAATCTGCTCACCTAAGCCTCCCAAAGTGCTGGGATTACAGGTGTGATCCACCGTGCTTGGCATTTGCAATTTTTTTTTTTGAGACGGAGTTTCGCTCGTTACCCAGGCTGGAGTGCAATGGCGCGATCTCAGCTCACCACAGCCTCCACCTCCTGGGTTCAGGCAATTCTCCTGCCTCAGCCTCCCGAGTAGCTGGGATTACAGGCACGCGCCACCATGCCCAGCTAATTTTTTGTATTTTTAGCAGAGACGGGGTTTCACCATGTTGACCAGGATGGTCTCGATCTCTCGACCTTGTGATCCGCCCGCCTCGGCCTCCCAAAGTGCTGTGGTTACAGGCGTGATCTGCCCATCTCGGCCTCCCAAAGTGCTGGGGTTACAGGCGTGATCCGCCCGCCTCGGCCTCCCAAAGTGCTGGGATTACAGGCGTAAGCCACCGCGCCCAGCCGGCATTTGCAATTTTCTTAAAGCTTATCAGCTATCATCAGTGTTAGTATATTTTACGTGTGGTCCAGTGCAGCCCAAGGAAGCCAAACGATTAGATGCCCCGGCTTTGAAGGCAGTATATGGGTCAGAGAGCTAGATGAGTTTCTGACTCATGAAGGAAGAAGTGTGCCATCTCCTTTAAACAGTTCCCAGCAGCCACTCTGCCTTGAAAGCTCTGGTTCCTCTTACCTTCCCACTATCAGGGAGCATGGAGGGTGGTGGTGGGGACGAGGAGGAGGAAGGACTGAGCCTGACACCTGGCCATCCTGCCCCAAAGCCAAAAGAGGTGAGGAAGCCAAGCCCAGCCACCGCAGGGACAAGAGTGGGCCCTTCTTGTCTACCCCACTTGGGATTCACTGGGCTTTTTGCATTCGTGTCTCTGTGCCATTCGTCAGTTCTAGACAACTGTCTAGACAACAATTCTAACTTCCTTTGGGTTTTTTTTTTTTCATACAGAGTCTTGCTCTCTCGCCCAGGCTGAAGTGCAATGGCGCGATCCTGGTTCACTGCAACCCCCACCTCCTGGATTCAAGCAATTCTCTGCTTCAGCCTCCTGAGTAGCTGGAATTACAGGCACCCACCACCACACCTGGCTAACTTTTGTATTTTTAGTAGAGACGGGGTTTCACCATCTTGGCCAAGCTGGTCTTGAACTCCTGACTTTGAGATCCATCTGCCTTGGCCTCCCAAAGTGCTGGGATTACAGGCATTAGCCACTGTGCCAGCCCTGCCACTCTGCCTTCCAGTAGCACCTCTCCCATTTTCTTCCCACTCTTTATGGAACTCCAGTGAACACGTGAGGCTTCGCAGTTCTTGCTTTCTGTCTTACTTGTTTTGTAATTCATGCCGGGTATCTTTTGACCTTTTTTCCAATACATGAATTTGTTCTTCAGCTGTGTCTGCTCTGCTGCTAAGAACCTGTTTGCTCACTTTTGTGTGTATGTAAGGATTTGTACGTATATATACAATTTTTTTTTTTTGAGACAGTCTTGCACTATCGCCCAGGATAGAGTGCAGTGGTGCAATCTCGGCTTACTGCAACCTCCAATTCCTGGATTCAAGCAATTGTCCTGCCTCAGCCTCCATGCCTGGCTCATTTTGTATTTTTAGTAGAGATGGGGTTTTACCATGTTGGTCAGGCTGGTAACCCCTGACCTCATGATCTGCCCGTTTTGGCCTCCCATAGTGCTGGTATTACAGGTGTGAGCCACCGAGCCTGGCCCACATATATATATATAATTTATTCTTGTTTCCAGCTAAAATTATTTATTTATTTATTTATTTATTTGAGACTGAGCTTCCCTGTTGTTGCTCAGGCTGGAGTGCAATGGCACGATCTCAGCTCACCGCAATCTCTACCTCCCAGGTTTCAATTCTACTGCCTCAGCCTCCCCAGTAGCTGGGATTACAGGTATGTGCCACCACGCCTGGCTAATTTTGTGTTTTTTGTAAAGATGGGGTTTCTCCATGTTGGTCAGGCTGGAATGCAGTGGCTCAATCATGGCTTACTGGACCCTCAACCTGCCAAGCTCAAGGAGCCTCCCTAGTAGTTGGGACTACAGGGGCATGCCACTATGCCTATTTTTTTCTTTCTTTTTTTTTGTGAGACTCAGTCTCACTCTGTTGACCATACTGAAGTGCAGTGGTGCAATCTCGGCTCACCGCAACCTCCGCCTCCTGGGTTCAAGCAATTCTCTGCTTCAGCCTCCTGAGTAGCTGGGATTATAGGCACCCGCCACCACGACCAGCTAATTTTTGTATTTTTAGTAGAGATGGGGTTTCACCATCTTGCCTAGGCTGGTCTTGAACTCCTGACCTTGTGATCCACCCACCTCAGCCTCCCACAGTGCTGGGATTACAGGTATGAGCACCTCACCTGGCCCCCATTTGCTTCTGTCAGGCAAGAGGGTATTCCCGTTCTGGGACCCATTTAACTAAATTCGACATGATCGGCTCATCTTCCCAGGCCCAGCCCAGCTCCTGTCTTGCCCATCTTACTTCTTAGAGCTTCGTGACTCTGCCCCCTGAAGCTTCTGGAAGATCTCAGGCGGAAGAAAAGGAGAGAGCTTCCCTCCTTCGTCTGAATACACACGTCGGTGTCGGCCGGCAGGTTGGGGGTTGGGAGCAGCCGCAGGCATGGCTGGCTTCAGGCGTGTTTTCCCTGCAAGCCATTGATCAGCAGGGGTCAGCAGGTGGGCCCACACCCCACAGAGGAGATGCAGGCTTGGGGGTGACCCAGGAGTGCCGTGCCTACTGCAGGGACCCACCAAGCTTGGCGGCTGTCGACTGGGCCCTCTCCAGACACTGCTGTGCTAGCTTCAGCATCTTGGAGGTATCAGGGGGCATGGTTTCCCCAGCTTCTGGGGAAGGGACAAGAAATCTGGTCACAGTTGGCTCTATTACTATTACCTGTTGCTGAGATAAAATGAAGTGATGGAAAAGCCAGGCAAGCCCATTGCCCCCCTCACCACCTACTGCCCACCTACCTCCACTGACCCCAGGTAAGTCCCCTGCCCCCCACCACTGACCTTGGGCAAGCCTACTGCCCCCATGCCTGCCACTGACCACAGGCAAGCCCACTGCCCCCCACTACCTCCACTGACCCCAGGCAAGTCCACTGCCCCCCACTACCTCCACTGACCCCAGGCAAGTCCACTGTCCCCACCATGGACCCTGGGCCAGCCCCCAACCACTCATCTCTAATCACCTGCCCTGGTTTTACCTCATGACCCTGCTGAGTCCGTGTGCCCCTCATGGAGGCCTGTCAGAGCCGGACCCTGAACAGGGCCTTTGTTGCTCACTCAGGGCCTCCCTTGCAGCACCCTCTGGGAAGGGCCATTTCGGAGAGAAGGACGTGCCGAGGGGAACCTCCTCGCCCATCTCCCGTCAGCTGTGTACCCAAAGCCCTGCCTTCCCGTGGGCCTGGCATGGAGCCCCTCTGCTCAGGACCATGGATATGCACATCCTTTTGCATGCTGTGACTCGCCCCTTGCCCCACCGCCCCACCCACTTCCCCACACTGTGGGAGCTGCCTCTCTGTGACCCACCCCCGGACCCACCACCAGCTCCTGACCCACCTCCTTGCTGCCTTTCCCAGCAAACTTTGCACTCCCGTTTTCTCATTCTGCCCCCTGATTTAGCTCCCGACACCCCCAAAAACTGCCCTTACCCATCCCCATCGCCACCTTGCCAGACGTGGTGGGCCCCTGGAGTTCCTCTGTCTTTTGGGATGTTGCTCTCCCCATGGGACCCTCTGCCAGTCCTCCTCCCAACTCAATCTTGGAGCCACAGAGCTCAGCCGCTCACAGCCCCCTACTAGTTCCCCTGACCTCTGTGCTCCCGCGTCCGGTGGCTGCTGCTCCTCAAACTGAATGTGTTCATTGTGGAACTTTCTTTTTTTTTATATATATTCTTTTTTTGTCTGAAGTGAGAACAATCATTGTGGAACCTTCTACTGCCCGCTTGCCAGTCTGCTCCTGCCTGCAGCTAGTCTGCTGTGATGACCTTCAGGATACACTCCCAGGCTGCTGGGTGGTCTCAGTCCTCAGCTGAAGCTCCACTCCCAGGCTGGCCTCTCCCTCAAAGCTCAAAGCCTCTTCTAATTTCCCTTCACACCAGAACGGCTCCAGTTCCACCCAAGGCAGGCACAGAGCCCCGCCCTGTGCCTCTGATTTCAGGGCCTTTGCACGTTCCAGTGCTGGAATGCGGCCCCGTGTCTTCTCACATTCCAATCTCCACCTTACCCACAACACTGGTCCCTTCCTGTTGCTATGTCACACTGAGTGCAGGCCAGTCCACCTGCTACCAATGGTCAGACTGGAAGGATACAGGAGATCCCCCAAGCCTGGTGCCCATCAAGGGCTGGGCTGCCCACAATTCGTCCAGCATGGAGAGAGCGGCAAGGCTGAGCCAAATCTTTTTTTTTTTTTTTGAGAGTTTTGCTTTTGTCACCCAGGCTGGAATGCAATGGCATGATCTTGGCTCACTGCAACCTCTGCCTCCTGGGTTCAAGTGATTCTCCTGCCTCAGGCTCCCAAGTAGCTGGGATTACAGGCTCCTGCCACCATGCCCGGCTAATTTTTGTATTTTTAGTAGAGACGGGTTGCCCAGGCTGGTCTCGAACTCCTGACCTCAGGTGATCCACTCACCTAGGCCTCCCACAGTACATGCGCCAGTGCCCGGCTAGCTGAGCTGTACCTTTAGTGGTTTCCACTTCTTCCAGTAGCACCTGGGAGATATAGTGGATGCTCCGCAGGTATTCCGTGTATGCCTCCTGTGTCCAGGAAAGAGAAGTGGGTCAGGCCAGTGGAGCACAGTGACTCCATCTCTCCTGCCAGGTGCACCTGTGGGATAAGCAAGGAACACCACCACCTGCTTATCTCTAAGATGCACGGAGAGACACGCAGCCTTCAGTGATGTGCTGCAGCTGGAAAGCCTTGGTCTGATCAGGTGGTGTCCTGCCCAAGGCACACTTGGAAAGGAAGTGGGGGCCTGAGAGGGAGCCAGGGACGAGCTGGACCTCACTTCCTCCTCTCACTGCCTTTCTCTCCAGCACAGGAGCTGGGGTTCTCATTCAGTGGCCCGGGGAAGTGACTTCAGCAGTTTCTGTCATTTTTCACCCTGTGAAACAAGTTTCCTTCTTGTGCAACTCAAGGGCAATTCATTCAGTGGCCTAAGAAATACTTCCTGAGAGGATGCAGAGGAGTGATGTCCCAAGTTTTTTTTTTTTATCACTTCCTGGCTTAAGTTCTGAGAAATCCGTTTCCCAGAACCCGAGTTAATATTCCTGGTGCATGGAGGAGCCTAGAACACTTGACTGTTGTTTCAAGGCTGTGCAGCCCCCTCTAGCAAGGCAAAGGTCATCAGGAACACAGCGTGGATTGTTTTGTTTCATTTGTTTGAGTGGTTTTTGGAAACCACTAAAGGGATGGCTTAGCTGGCCGGGCACTGGCTCACTCAATGGCAACAGAGTGTCACTCTGTCGCCCACGCTGGAGTGCAGTGGTGCAATCTCGGCTCACTGCAACTGCCTCCCGGGCTCAAGCAATTCTGTCTCAGCCTCCCGGGCCCAAGCAATTCTCCTGACTCAGCCTCTCCAGTAGCTGCGATTATGGGCGTGCGCCACCACCCTGGCTATTTCTGTATTTTTAGTAGAGAAGGGGTTTAACCATGTGGGCCAGGATGGTCTCGTTTTTTTTTTTTTTTTTTTTTTTTTTGAGACAGAGTCTCGCACTGTCCCCCAGGGTGGAGTGCAGTAGCACGATCTCAGCTCGCTGCAATTTCCGCCTCCTGGGTTCAAGCGATTCTGCCTCAGCCTCCAGAGTAGCTGGGACTACAGGCGTGCGCCACCACGCTCAGCTAATTTTTTTTTGTATTTTTAGTAGAGACGAGGTTTCATTCGGCCTTTTGGCCAGGATGGTCTCGATCTCTTGACCTCGCGATCCGCCCGCCTGGGCCTCCCAAGTGTTGGGATTACAGGCGTGAGCCACCGCGCCGGCAATATGCTGTGTTTTTGTTTTATCCGTAGGTGTTAAGTTACCTATCGTTAATTAAGTCTGTGCCTCCGAGAGAAAGACAAAACATAATCCAGGCAGGATTTCTGATGTGTGGGGGCCCCGCTGCCCTAAAAACCAAGTTGGGGAAAGCAGCAGATTCAGGAAGGAAGCTTCTCCTAGGCACAGGCAGGCTCCTTCCCTCCTCGAGGGGCCGGCTGTGGCTGAGCCGGCTTCTCTGCCTGGTCGCCAACCTTAGACGCGGCCCCGTGTCGGGAACCGACCACACCCCTCCGGCCTGCGTTTCCTTCCTAGGGCTCCCAGAAGGCGACTGCAAACAGCATCGCAAATGAGCGGGCAGGTGGCCTCGCGATTCCGCCCCCGGTGGCAGCCGGATTAAATGTGCACGAACGCAGGCGCCGCTCGCCGCACGGGGTCTGGAAGGTCGCCTGGCCCCGCTCCGCATCCCCTCCACAGGTGGAGCCAAAGGCCGGCAGCGGCAGGGAAAGCCGAGGCGGCAGGTCTGAGCTGTCCAAGGTCACCGCTCGCGGCCCCGGCGACGCCCGCCGCGCCCCGCCCCATTCCTCGCCGGGGAACCGCGGTCCGGGGTCCCTGTTGGCGCCCGCCCCCGCGTCCCCAGCCCGCGCCGGCCCCGTCGTCGCCCTCCTGGGGCGGGGGTCTCTCCAGTGGCCACCCCCGCGGCCAAGCCCCGCCCCCGCCCCGCCTCACCCGGGGCCGGTTGCCGGCGTCCAACTCGATGGCCCCGTTGGCCAGCTTCATGGCGCTCTGCAGCGGCTTTACGGTGCCGTCCCCGGCCGCAGCGGCCATGACGCCGGGCGGGGGAGGCGGTGGCGGCGGCGGCGGCCGCAGCAGTGGAGGGGCGGGGCAGACGGGCGGGATCCCGGAACGCAGCGGGCGCGGGTGCGGAAGCCGCCGGAGCAGCGGACCGCCGGAAGGGAAGCGAGCGCACTTCCGGCGACGGGCCCCGCCGCGCGTACTTCAGGTCCCGCGGGTGTCAGTGGCGGGGGCGACGGATCTCGGGCAGCTCCTCGGGACGGGGCGGGCGAGAAGGGCCCCTCCCGGAGTTGCCCTGGGCGTTTAACCGCGGCAGCCAGGCCTCCCTCTCCGTGAGACCCCGGCTTCCCTCTCCGCAGCCCGCCCGCTACCTGCCCGCCCCGCGCCCACGTCTTCCACGGTAAGAGACGGGGAGGGCTGGGTCGCCTCTCCTTGGAGGGCTCGTCGTGAGGTCTCGGCGAGCCCCTCCGCTCAGCGCCCCGCCCCATTGGCGGCAGCGGCAGGCACGGCCGCCCTCGGGCCGGAGAGGGCAGCGGTGCGCGAGTGGGGGTGCGGCCCCGCGGATGGAACCTCGGCCAGCGGGGTCCCGCCCCTGACCCTCTCCCGCCCCGCCCGCCTCGCTTCGCTTCGCTTCTCGCCCCGCCCCTGGCCCGCCTCGTCTCGCTTCCAGCGCGCCGAGCGGAGCCGAACGCTGGTCCTCCGGGAACCTCGGGCCGAGCGAGGCCGAGCGGGGCCGAAGGGGACCGAGCGGGGCCGAGCGGGGCCGGGCAGCGCCGGGCAGCACCCGCGGAGCCCTGGTGGCGTCCGTTCTCCGCTGCTATGAAGCGGGACCGGCTGGGACGCTTCCTGTCCGTTGGGACGGGCCGGCAGCGCGGAGCGTCGGGCGGCGGCAGCGGCCGGGCTCGGGTCCGCCCCTCCCGCAGCGGCGGGCCGAGGGTGGACGGGGCGGCGGCGCGGCGCGCCTGGGGCCCGGCGGGGGCCTGCGGGGACGCGGGCGAGGACGGCACGGGCGAGGCAGGTGTGTCCCGGGCCCGGACATGGCGGGCGGGGGTCGCGGAGGGGACTGCGGGTGGGCGCAGTTGCCCGGAAGCCGGCGCGGCCTCGCCTCCACCCGGCCGAGCGCGCAGCGGACTCGGGGCTGCTCCTGGATCGGCGCTGGGCGCCCGGCCCCGTTTTTATCGCGCTGCGTGACGCTGGCGTCGCCGGCTTGGCCTCCCGGTCCCCGCGGGCAGGTCGCTCTCCCGGGCGTCGAGTCCTCTCGGGAGCAGGAAAGGAGGCGGCGGCGTCTGCACTGGGCAGACGGAAACCGCTGCGTTTCCTGGAGAGCGCAGCGCCTTCCCCGGGTCTCGCGGTCGCTGGGAGGAGGGTGCAGTTCCAGGCTTCACTCGTGAAGTCGCTTCGCCCTGGCGGCCTTCAGAGCCCTTTAGAAGATGTCCTGGACCAGCAGCCACATCGCCCACAGGGCGGCTGTCTCGCTGCGAGCCCGGCGCCCGAGCCACTTGCTGGGTCCCGGGGCGTTGTGGAGGGCGATGCGGGCATGGCGCTCGGACCTGGAGTCCAGGACACCCCGGGCTCGGGAGCCTCTTCCTTTGCCTGCTGCTAATATTTCCTGCCGCTCTGTGCAGCAGCCCGGGCTGTCACTATGGGGCACTGTCGCCTCTGCCACGGGAAGTTTTCCTCGAGAAGCCTGCGCAGCATCTCCGAAAGGGCGCCTGGAGCCAGCACGGAGAGGCCATCTCCAGGGGAGCGCGTCCTCGTCAGGGACTTCCAGCGCCTGCTGGGCGTGGCTGTCCGCCAGGACCCCAGCTTATCTCAGTTTGTCTGCAAGAGCTGCCACGCCCAGTTCTACCAATGCCACAGCCTCCTCAAGTCCTTCCTGCAGAGGATCAATGTCTCCCCGACGGGCCACCGGAAGCCTTGTGCAAAGTACGCCCTAGTCTGTTTAGGTCACGTTCAGGTTGTCAGCACTGTGGAGTGACACGTGTGAGAGGGACAAGGGCGAGCCTCAGCAGGAGCCTCTGGGTAGGGGAATGGGCCGTGCCCGGCTCAGCACAAACACCCTGGGACCAGTGTGGAGCGAGCCGGGAGGAGCTGTGGGGAGGGGAGAGGAGAGGGTTCCCTGTGGGGACCGCTGAGGTTTGAGACCTCAAGAGGCTTCTGTATGGGGAGCACCGTGAGTCTCCGCCTGCTGGTCCTGCTCATGGCCACACTGATCCTTTGCAGGGTCGCTGCCCAGCCCCCAACAGGGGCAGAGGAGGGAGCGTGTCTGGGTGAGTCCTCCCCTGGTGGATGGTGGGCTGGGTGCTGGCCAGCCATGGAACTGACATCTCTGTTGACTCTCTGCAGTGGATCTGATCACATCGAGCCCCCAGTGCCTGCATGGCTTGGTGGGGTGGGTTCACGGACATGCGGCCAGCTGCAGGGCCCTGCCCCACCTTCAGAGGACGCTGTCCTCCGACTACTGTGGCGTCATCCAGGCTGTGTGGGGCTGCGACCAGGGCCACGACTACACCATGGACTCCAGCTCTAGCTGCAAGGCCTTCTTACTGGACAGTACACTGGCGGTCAAGTGGCCATGGGACAAGGAGACGGTGCCATGGCTGCCCCAGCACCGAGGCTGCAACCCTGGGGCCGCCCCTCAGACCTCCCAGGGCAGAGGGACAGGGACCCCAGTGGGGTCTGAGACCAGGACCCTGCCCAGCACAGACATGGCCCAGCCTCCTTCAGACAGCAACCCAGCAGGGCCCAGGCGGGGCTTCCCACCTCAGCCAAGCCTGCCCCTCTGCGGGGCCCCAGGTAGGAGGCACCTCTTGCCAGTGCTAGACCGGGATCTGTGCTCTTCCACGGGTCAGGGATTTCAGCAGAAAATGGATGTCTCCACTGCTCTGGGTGGTGGTGTGGTGTGGTGTGGTGTGGTGTCAGAAGGGGCCGGGGGGTCTTGGGGCTTCTGCCTATGGCGGCTCACCCCATCCAAAGAGCAGGGAGGGGTAGCCAGCCTGTCTCATGAGCGGAGCTCAGTTCCAGCAGTTTCTGTAGAGACGTGTTCATTAGCCGTCTAGTCTTTCTCTAAGCCTGTGCTAGGAGCTGAGGGGACTGAGGAAGAGAGAATAATGGAGCCTTGTCTGTGGATGTGGGGGAGAGAGCGGCCACTGCCTTTGTGGCTGCTGCCCTGTGCCAGCTGCAGGTCATTTCCTGGCGCTCAGACAGTTGCCTGGTGTGGGCCAGTGTGGTACAGCTTTCTCTGCTGACAAGCTGAGGGGAAATACAGAGCTCTTGTTTGGGCCCCAGAACCCTCAGCACTGTGGGCTGGTGCAGCTGCTCCTGGACGTTGTATTAGGAAGGCCGGGGCCAGCTTCCCACCGACCTCTCGCCCTGCGTGTGCTCTGCGCACCTGTCCCCACCTGGGCACGCAGCTCTGACCTTGAGTCCTCAGTGGAGCTCCCAAAAATCACAGCTACCTGTGATCCCAGCACTTTGGTAGGCTGAGGTGGGCGGATCACTTAAGGTCAGGAGATCAAGACCGGCCTGGCCAACATGCTGAAACCCCATCTCTGCTAAAAATACAAAAACTAGCGGGGCGTGGTGGTGTGCGCCTGTAATCCCAGCTACTCTGGAGGCTGAGGCACGAGAATTACTTGAGCCTGGGAGGTGGAGGTTGCAGCGAGCTGAGACTGGACCACTGCACTCCAGCGAGACTGTCCTAGACAAACAAAAATGCAGCTGCCTGAGATGGCCCAGCTAGACACAGGTGCACGAATGAGACGGTGTGGCGCAGGGGGCCTCGGGGAGGGAGCAGGGTTGTGAGTGTCACATCTTAGAACTGCTTGGCTTTTTAAACTTGAGTGCGGTACATTGAGAACAATACTTTTTAAAACGTCATTTAAATAGAGATGGGGCTCTTGTTATTTTGTCCAGGCTGGTCTTGAACTCCTGGCTTCAAGTGATCCTCTTGCCTCCGCCTCCCAAAGTGCTGGGATTACAGGCGTGAATCACTGCCCCTGGCCGAGAGAACAGGAATTTTTTTTAAGTACGTTCTCATACTTTGCTGATACTTATTTATTAATTTGAGACAGAGTCTTCCTCTTCTCGCCCAGGCTGTAGTACTGTGGTGCGATTGTGGCCTCTGCCCCTCAGGTTCACCCTCCTGAGTACCTGGGATTACAGGCACCTGCCACCTGCCCGGCTATTTTTTCTGTTTTTAGTAGAGACAGGGTTTCACCGTGTTTGTCAGGCTGGTCTCCAACTCCTGACCTGGGGTGATCCGCCCTCCTCGGCCACCCAAAGTGCTGGGATTACAGGCGTGAGCCCCCATGCCTGGCCAACAACGGTACTTTTATAAATGTCTCAGAACATCCACCAGGTCCAGGCTGTGAGGAGGACTAGATCTGAGTCTTTGAAAGAACTGGGCTTTCTGGTGGTGCTGCTGCTGCCTGTGCGATGCTGGATGCGGGGCTGGTACCATCAGAGGCCGCATCAGAGGCCATGTAGCACCCTTGGCAAGGATGGGGCCAAGGCGGGGGGAACTTGAAGGTCAGGGACCCCAGGCTCCCTTCTAGTCAAGTCGTGCCTCCTTGCAGGCGAGGCCTTTCTGTGTTCCACGTGGGTAACAGGAGCCTTGTTCTTTGTTTCTCAGGGCAGTTGGGTGAGAAGCAGGTTCCATCTTCAACCTCGGATGATCGGGTAAAAGACGAGTTCAGTGACCTTTCTGAGGGGTGAGAGAAGAGTGGGTTTAAACAGCCTAAAATTTCTCCTTCAAAGCCAAACAGCCATCGTAGGGGCTGGCTGCCGTGCCCTGGTTGGGATGTGCCTCCCCTCGAAGTGGGAGGAGAGGAGGGGCTGGGGAGCTTCCGAGGCTTCTTGTCCCTGATTAGTGGTTTCCTGGGTGCCACAGGACCCCCTAGACCTGGGGCAGCTCCAGAGGGAGCCTGATAGGGATTCTGACCCAGAGTGGCATGGAAATGAGCTTGTTGAAACCACCGTGGCTGGTCCTTGGCTATCACTACTGTTAACTCTTTTAAGGCCATAGTTTCGTTTGCTCCAGATGTTTCTAGAGTCGAGAAAGCCCGACTCTAGCCCTTGAATATGACACTGTTGTGACCTCAAGCGGAGGTTTCATGAGGAGGTGGTAGGGGACAGGACTTCTCAGAAGGGACACCATCAGTGTCTGTGAGCTCCTTGGGAATCCACTGCCTCTCAGCCCAGCAGCACTCAGGGCAGCTGTGCCCGACAGGGGTTCACACCCTTTCCACCTTCCCCTGTCACCCTTGGCTGCAAAACAGACAAACCTGATCCAAATGAGGACAGCCCAATTTTGGGGGCAATCCAAGCGGGGTGTCTAGTGATGAAATCCTGCAAGTACCAGGAGGCACCTGGGGTGGCTGAGGCTGCCCCCAGGACCACCAGGAGATGAAATTGCAACTCACGTTTTAGGCCACAAATCTTTTTTTTTTTTTTTTTTTGCTCTTGTGAACTTTTTTTTTTAAGACTGTCACTCTTTTGCCCAGGCTGGAGTGTTGTGGTGCGATCTCAGCCCACTGCAAACCCCACCTCCCTGGTTCAAGCAATTCTCACGCCTCAGCCTTCCGAGGAGCTGGGATTACAGGCATGCGCCACCATGCCCGGCTAATTTTTGTGTTTTCAATAGAGACATAGAGACGGGGTTTCACGATGTTGGCCAGGCTGGTCTCAAACTCCTGACTTCAGGTGATCTGCCTCCCTCAGCCTCCCACAGTGCTTGGATTACATGTGTGAGCCACCACACCCGGCTGCTTTTGTGAACTTAGAAGTGGCTGATGGCAAACCCATCAGCTGCATTAAGGGTTCACAGTTACAGGTGAGGTGGTCGCGGTTTCTGAGTCTGCTTATCAGGAAGCCTCCTTTGCAAGCCTCTAGCCCTTCTGGACTGCAGTGGAAAGGGCTTTTTCCAAGTCCAGGGTCCGGGTGCTTGGAGCGCCTGGCTGGTCGGGGATTGCTGGCTTGTGAGCCCGGCTTGCTTTTTGTGTTCGGAAATGGGATTGGAAATTTGGAGATTTTAGATTTCTGAAGACAATTTCAGAACTGAAACGTGGGACGTGGGGGTCCACGTGGTGTCTTTAGGCAGGAAGTCTTGCAGATTTTGTCACTGCCCAGGGCTTTGCTGAAGATTCTCTCTTAATTCCTAGAGACTTCCTGAGTGAAGACGAAAATGACAAGAAGCAAAATGCTCAGTCTTCAGATGAGTCCTTTGAGCCTTACCCAGAAAGGAAGTAAGTGAGTCTGGTGGAGGCATCACGTGTGTGATGTAGACACCCCCTCAACACTGGAGGGGCAAGGGACGCAGAGCCTCCACTCCCTGCTGTGTCTACCCTCAGTTCACTCTTTGTGGCCGGATCTCCCGAACAGTCAAATGTGGCTTCCATCTGTGAGCTGGGAGGCAGGGGGAGGGGCAGGTGAGAAGGTGGGTCCTCCTGGCTGCCCGTCTCAGCATTGTCAGGTGACCAGCAGGCCGGTGCAGGACCGCCTCAGGGTCCCAGCAATGGATGGCAGGGGTCCCCTTTGACAAAACCCAGCCTCGCTTGAGAAGGAGGCTCTTGCGTCCCTCCTGCCAGTCCTATTCTGGGTTCACACCAGTGTCCCCCTGGAACTGCCCGCCCACCGTCTGTCATCCTCCCAGCTCTGACCCCGTCGTCGACCTCCCTAGCCAGGCAGCCATGGTTCACGTTCTTGTCGAATCACTTCTGTGACCTTGTTTTGACCTTCTGTTTTTGGGGATTTATGTTTTCTCTCTCCGGTTAGGACACAGGCCTTGGTAGTAAGGGCTGCTTTGCACTTGTGCTGTTTCCTTGCAGTCCTGTATCCCGGAATACCCAGAACAGTCTCAGGTAGTGGGTGGCTGACCCGGTCCCTTTCCTTAGCATTTCACAGTCCAAACAAAGATCCAGAGGGCAGGCGCCTCTGAGTACCACGGTCAGCCAAGAGAACCCTGCGTCGAAGACCGAGAGGTCACCGGCCTGTTTACCTGAGGTCCTGATGCTGTTGAATTATGAAGAGAGAAACAGGAGTGTAGGAGCCTGGAGAGAGATCAGAAGCAGAGGGCGGGATGGAGCCAGGGGAGCTCCAGCGGCCTCAGCATGGACAGAAAGCTGGTCAGGCCTAGAGAAGGTGCCCCACCCTCAGGTTTGTTCCCAGGAATCATGGCTGCTGTTGAAGCCCCTACTCCCTGTCCTGTGACCTCCCCAGGCTGAGTCCAAATCCCAGGATACCCGAGAATGTGTGTCTGTGACTTGCTGCGCAGGTCTGGGGCCACTGGTGTGAGGAGGGCTGGGAGCTGGGATGGGAGGGTACAGGTGAGCCCTTTTTCCAGATTGAGGCAGGTTCAGGAGGGGAGGGTCTCCTCTCCTGAGCCCCTGCCGGTGTCATTAGGCCCCTTGGAACCCCAGGATTGCGGCAAAGCTGTGCTTTGGGACAGAGACACAAGAGACATGTTTGAAGAGGCTGCTAGTAAAAGGGTTAGTTGAGTGGAAACTGCTCTGTTCAGGAGGCAGGGCTGGGTGGAAGCACACGTGGCCTCCTGACCGTGGCAAGTGCTGGGGGCATGTGGCTCCTCAGCTGCTACAGTGAGACCTTGGGAACCTAGAAGGGCGTCTGCACAGCCCCCAGCCTATGTGCCACCTCCCAGTTGTCTTGCTGCTGCCCGTAGAGTGCTAGCAGGCGTGCTTGCCTGGGTCCTCAGCCCGGGGCCAGTGAGATGTGTTCATTAGGGCTCTGGTGTAGCCAGCGGTGAAGGCCACGGCCTCTGCCATCGTGGTGAAAGAACTGGCAAGCAGCAGTGAGGCCTGAGCACGGTCCACCCCGTCTGCAAGGACTCCGATCCCAAACCCAAGGGCACACAGGCTGCAGGTGGTCTGAAGCCCCCTGTGCCCAGGAAGTAAGCAGGCGTTATGGGAGCAGCGTGGCAGTCACTCAAACAAGGCGGGGCAGGTGAAGGGACAGTTATTAGGGTCAGGGAGAGAAGGGGCAGCAGTACGTCAACACGGCCCTTTTCAGTGCACTCTTGTAAGGAGAAGGGCAGTTAGACAGGGTCTCACGCTGCTGTCCAGGCTGCAGTGCACCTTGTGTGTCAGGCCGTCCTCCCACCTCAGCTCCCACAGTGCTGCAGTGACCAGCGTGAGCCACTGCAGCGTCAGTTGCTTGCTGATGCTCTTGGGCGTCAGCTGTTTTCTTACTTGCCTCTTCTGGTTGTGGATAGTGGGTTTTGTCCTCTGCCACTTTGCTCAAATCAATTAGGTTTTCTTGTACGTCAGTCTTTAGGGTTTTCTACATACAAGGTCATGTCATTTATGAATACAGATACTTTTTCTTCAAGTGCTTTTTTTCCTTGCCCAGTTACTCTGGCCAGGGTCTCCAGACACTGTGCTGAGTAACAGCGGTGAGAATCCACGTCGTCTTCCTGATCTTAGAGGAAGAGCTTTTAGTGTTTGAGCATCGAGTGTGATGTCTGCTGTGGGTTTTTCACTGTGAAGTTTCCCTTTTGTGCCTGGCACAGATTTCCTTAATTATCTGGATCCAAAAGGCAAACACAAGCCTATCCCCTTTTGTCTCCGATACACACACGCACAGGAAGCTGCTGATCTGCTGCCCCTCAGGGACTTGCCAGACCAACTAAAACGCACGGCCCTAAAGTTCTGGACAAGGTCTCCTGCCCATCATGGCCCCAGCCAGCAGCTCCAGGGACACAGGCAGGGCTGAGGAATGGGGGTGGCTCACCGTGTGCTTCCTGGGGGAACAGCACCTCTTCCTCTGAAGCCCTGCCTAGGTGCCTTGAGGCAGGGTTTAGATGGATTCTGAGCTCTTTTCTAACGTAAGGTCATTGTGGTAGAGTGGCCCCTAGAGCACCCCTGTTGTGCCGTCTTTCCTGACAGCTCCAGTTTTGGGTTTTACATGTAGAACAGGGTGAAGCTTCAGTTCTGAGAATTCACCCCTATAGCAAGCAGGTCGCTCCATGTACTTGTGCTCCCTGGCAAGCAGGTCACTCATGTTGGAGGACAGACAAGAAATGTTTGCAAATAGAGATCAGAAGCCACTGAATCTGGGAACTTCTTTTTCTCAGGGTCTCTGGTAAGAAGACTGAAAGCAAAGAAGCCAAGAAGTCTGAAGAACCAAGAATTCGGAAGAAGCCCGGACCCAAGCCGGGGTGGAAGAAGAAGCTCCGTTGTGAGAGGTGAGGCCTGCAGTGCGGGGCTTGCCCCACCTGTCGGGCTGAGGCTTCATGCATGGTTTTCATTCCAGGGAGGAGCTTCCCACCATCTACAAGTGTCCTTACCAGGGCTGCACGGCCGTGTACCGAGGTGCTGACGGCATGAAGGTGAGCAGTAGTGGTGCCTGACGGGGGCCTGGCAGCTGTGTGTGCCCTGACGCAGACTTGTGCCCAAGGATGCTCATGACCTAGACTAATGGCAACATTCCCAGGGGTAGGTATGGGGCCAGACTTTGACTGGAGACACCCCCTGGGGGTCCAGAAGTTTCTTAAGAGTGAAGCTATGGAGCCAGTGGTGTAGCTGGAGGAGGTGGATCTGCCTTCCTTCTGCTGGGGTCAGTCATCAACCCCTGAGGGCCCCTGGGGTTTGGCCCAGGTGAAGCTAAGGATCTCCTTTGCAGAAGCACATTAAGGAGCACCACGAGGAGGTCCGGGAGCGGCCCTGCCCCCACCCTGGCTGCAACAAGGTTTTCATGATCGACCGCTACCTGCAGCGCCACGTGAAGCTCATCCATACAGGTACTGCCAGGGACACGTGACCGGCTTTCCAATCTTCCTGATATCTACCCCTTCCCCAGGAATTGGGGGTCACAGGCAGGTGGCTAAAGGCCTCAGGTGCTCATAAGTCACGTAGCTAGGGCTGGGCGCGGTGGCTCACGCCTGTAATCCCAGCACTTTGGGAGGCCGAGGCGGGTGGATCACGAGGTCAAGAGATCGAGACCATCCTGGTCAACATGGTGAAACCCCGTCTCTACTAAAAACACAAAAAAATTAGCTGGGCGTGGTGGCGCGTGCCTGTAATCCCAGCTACTCAGGAGGCTGAGGCAAGAGAATTGCCTGAACCCAGGAGGCGGAGGTTGCGGTGAGCCGAAATTGTGCCATTGCACTCCAGCCTGGGTAACGAGAGCGAAACTCTGGCTCAAAAAAAAAAAAAAAAAGTCATGTAGGTAGATGAAGGCTAGAGTGGGGGGTCTGTGAATCTGCTCTTCCCTGTGATAGAAGGAATTCCCAGATTCCTGGCAGCTTGTCAAAACTGATAAATTTGTCTTAACATGAAGTCTTGCTGTCACCCAGGGTAAAGTGGTGTGATCTTAGCTCACTGCAACCTCTGCTTCCCAGGTTCAAGTGATTCTCCCGCCTCAGCTGCCCGAGTAGCTGGGATTACAGTGGGTGCCTGCCACAAAGCACAGCTAGCTTTTGTTTTAGTAGAGACAGGGTTTCACCATGTTGGCCAGGCTGGTCTCAGACTGGAATCCCTGGCATACAGAGGGCTGCGTTTTCATAGGTTCTGTGGTGTGTTTGCAGTATGAACAGATTTTGGTATTATGGGGGGAAGGTCCTCGGTGAAGCCTGAGCTCCCCTGAGGAAGCAGCTGCGGACAACTGTATATTGACCCCTAAACATGTAGTTTTGCTTGGTTTTGAGCTTTCTAAAGAACAATTCATTGCAGAAAGTATTTTCTCATTAGGATTTATTTTTATTGCTGGATCATGTCACCATTTTCCTGTCACCTGACATGCTGGTTATTTCTGTTACTTTGCTGAGTGTTCTCCCCCATCTCTCCTGATGGCACTAGTTCCTTGGCTTTGCTTCTTCAGACTCTGTACCTGACAATATGCCTGATCTCAACATTTTGGAGGTTGAGGCCAGGAGTTTGAGACCAGCCTGGGCAACATAGTGAGACCCCATCTCTACCAAAATCGCCCAGGCTGGAGTGCAGTGGCACTATCTTAGCTCACTGCAGCCTCTGCCTCCCTGGTTCAAGTGATTCTCCTGTCTCAGCCTCCTCTCCAGAGTAGTTAAGGTTATAGGTACCTGATGCCACGCCTTTTTTTTTTTTTAATAGAGAGGTGGGTTTTGCTATGTTGGCCAGGCTGGTCAAACTCCTGACTTCAGGTGATTCACTTGCCTCAGCCTCCCGAAGTGCTGGGATTACAGGTGTGAGCCACCGGACCCAGGCCCCCAATTTTTTTTAATCAGCAGGGTGTAGCTGGGAGGCTGAGGCAACAGATCAGTTAAGTCTGGGGGTTCGAGGCTGTAGTGAGCCATTATTGTACCACTGCACACCAGCCTGGGCAGCTGAGGAAGCAAGACTGTGAAGTGGGACAGCAGAGAGTCAAACCTCAGGGTAAAGTTGACCTCAGAAAAGACTGTCTTGGCAGCTATTTCAGGCTTGACAGATATGTGGAGAGCATAGGGTGAGCGAGTATGCATGTCCACACATGGGAAGTGTGAGGAAGATTCCAGAGAGTACAGCCATGCATACCAACGGGGTCTCTCCCACACCCTGGGTATGGCCCCTCTCACAGCTTCAAGAATTTGTGGTCCAGGAAATAAGTGGCTTCTGAAGTTCCTTTAAAAACCGTCCTTAAATGTCCATGGTTGGTGATGGGGACGACCTAGCCATGTGACGGTCCTGGCAAGCAATTTAAAGATCTCACTAATAAATTAGGCCTGAGAAGCCCCTTGCTTGTGCCTACCACATGTTGACGTGTGATCCTCTCAGCTGTGATGTGATGTTTTAGACCGTCATTCCCCACACCACCGCGCCCCCCTCCACTGGGCAGTGAGAGCATCAGGGGCCTGTACTTAGTGCACTCTGCTCTCTCAGAGGTGCGGAACTATATCTGTGACGAATGTGGACAGACCTTCAAGCAGCGGAAGCACCTCCTCGTCCACCAGATGCGACATTCGGGAGCCAAGCCTTTGCAGTAAGTGTGAGCCGGGCCCACCCTAGGGCTGTGGCTGGCCCGGGCACCTTCTCACCTGCCTCTGTCCCTCAGGTGTGAGGTCTGTGGGTTCCAGTGCAGGCAGCGGGCGTCCCTCAAGTACCACATGACAAAACACAAGGCTGAGACTGAGCTGGACTTTGCCTGTGACCAGTGTGGCCGGCGGTTTGAGAAGGCCCACAACCTCAACGTGCATATGTCCATGGTGCACCCGCTGACACAGACCCAGGACAAGGCCCTGCCCCTGGAGGCAGAGCCACCCCCCGGGCCACCTAGCCCCTCTGGAACCACAGAGGGCCAGGCGGTGAAGCCCGAGCCCACCTGAGGACAGCAGTGAGGATGGGACCTGTAGCAGCCTGGACTCTGCAGGGGCCGTGGCAGCCTCACTGACTTCCTGCGAAGCCATGCAGGAGGGTCAGAGGATGTGGCCCACCTTTGGTGGTGGAGGTGGGCTTGGTGTACAGCTCAAGTAGCCTTTCTCCGCTCTGGGACCAGTGGTTTATTTTCCTACAAACATTGAAGTGACTTGGGGCCAGACAGTTTATAAATAATGGATTCCTTTTCCCCACCTAAAGCAATCAAGGAGATTCGTAATCCACTTTTTAGTGCAACAAGAGCTCTATGTTACACTTGTAATAAATTATTTACAAAGGAGCAGGGCTGGTGTGCAGTGGCAGGTCCTGTCAGAAGAGACGAGGCTCCTGGCACAGGTCGGTGTCAGGGGCGGCCTGCTGCCTGCTCCGGAGGGCAGTGCTCACTTCTGGGTCGCAGTCCGCACGATCAGCCAGCAGCTGGGAGAGAGCAGGTACTCAGACCACAGGGGAGGGGTGCTGGCATGACAGCCAAGTCATGCTGCATGGCCCAGGCGGCTGGGAATTCTCATGTCCCCAAGGTGGGCATCTTGACGTTACCTTTGTTACATGTGAGAAGTTCTTTTTTGGGCACCGAGGTATCAACTGCAGCAGAAAAAGGCGAGCTTTTGTTATCAGGTCAACAGGGTCGCCCTAAAGAGAGTAACAGGCAAAATCAGCTTGGAAGGCATACTGAGACAGGGCTGCTGTGTCCCCTACTATCTGCACGCTGCACCTCAGGCTGGGGGAGCTCCCCTGGAGATGGGACTGGCCCCTGCACCTGCCTGACCCTTGAGCTCCAGGCTTCTGCCAGCTGGAGGTGAAACTGTGCTCGTATCCCCAGCCACGAAGAGTTGGACCAGCTTCAGGTACATGTCGACAGCAACACACAGGAAGGCCTCTTCCCTCATGGCTGCATCTTCGTGGAAGTTGGAGAGAAGACTAGAGGTAAAGACATGGTGACAGGTGGCTAAGATGGCTGGAAGGGTCGCAGGTGATGTCAGGGATACCTGCTCATCTGTGGGGCAGAGGCACAGGCAACCTTTCCCATCTGGTGGGAGGCCCAGAGGCGCTAAGATAGGGGTCTGGGAAACACTGCCCCCTCCCTGACCACACACGGCTGTGTAGTTACCTGTAGAAGGCGAAAGGCAGCAGCCTGGTGTGCTGATCCGGGGCCACGCGGAGGAGGAGGCACCCCAGCCTGGTGTCTGCCACAACAAGAGGTGGTTCAGACAATTCTGGACATCTCTGCCTATTAGCGGTGCTGGGGGACACCCCCAGGGTCAGGACCTGTGCTCTAGGAGGCTTGGCTGTGGGGATGGTGCAGGGTGAACAGCCTCAGCTGAGGACACCTGGGCACCTGTCAGCAACTGGGAGAAGATGGGCGGGGGGTCGCCCTCCTGCAGGAGAGCGGGGGTGTGGGGCAGAGTGAGGCAGTTTCCACAACAGGCATGTGAGTCCTGTAGGGTTGACCAGTGAACCGGTAAATTTATCTTACTAGTATAAACAAGTTTGCACTTAAGCTCCATTTTAGTTGGGAGAGATTATCAACTAAGCCAGAGGATAGACTCATAAAAATGAATTTGCAAAGTGAACCTCAAGGAGGGCTTGTTCTTAACCATTTGAAAGTTGCCTCTGAAAAGAGCAGTGCTCCGTGTTTTTCTTACCACTCTCTGCCAACTGAAAGAGTGCCAGCCAGGATATCTTCCTCTTCTCTAAACACTCGAGGACTGCAGCACAAACTTCTAAAGCTTTTAGTGGGCCCAGGGTGCTCTGTAAACCGTGCGAGAGGAACCCTGAGAATGGCCGACCTGCTGTGCTCACGTGTGTGGCCCTCTGCACAGAAGGCATTTCCCCTCAGAACTGGTGACAACCTATAGAAGAGACCACGGGGGCCTCTGGATGGAAGGGGCTCAGGAGGCGGCCAGGAACCTCAGGCGCTCACATGCCAGGCTGTTGTACCGCGTCCTGAAATCGGTGTGAAAAGAAAGGCCCACAGGCTGGATGCAGTGGCTCATGCCTGTGATCCCCCAACCCTCTGAAAGGCCGAGATTGGGCAGATCACTGAGGGCAGTTCAAGACCAGCCTGGAAACATGGGGAAACTAGGTCTCTACTAAAAATACAAAAATTAACTGGGTATCATGGCGCATGCCTGTAATCCTAGACAGCTACTCGGTAGGCTGAGGAAGGAGAATAGTTTGGACCCAGGAGGCAGAAATTGCGGGAAGCCAAGACTGTGCCACTGCAGCCCAACCTGAGTAACAAAGCAAGACGCTGTCTCCAAAAAAAAGCCCACAGCCTGGGAATTCTCAGACTTCTGCAAACACAGGGAGCTCCTGACTTCAGGCAGCCAGCTTCCAAGCCAGCCCCTGCTGGGCCAACAGCGGGAGAAGACACCTTAGTTGGTAAGGTTTAACTTACATTTGGGGTCAGATGTGACGAGAGCAGGCCCATCAAGGAGAAGAAGAAAAGGAAAACCAATAGCTGCAAGGAAAAATGTGCACTTATTACTATGACATTAAAATGTCCTGTACTGTGACTGCCAGTATAGGCCGACACACACATTTCTCTTTAACTGAATCTTTTTACATCTAGGCCATAAATCCTTTAAGTGGATCTTAGAAAACTTTCCAGTCACTTTTAAAGAGACAGCTTGAGAATTACTACTGACTGGGTCATTTCACACTTGCCTTTAAACACAGTCAGAAAGGGGGGTGCTGCAGACTCCTTGGTTGTGTGGGGTCCCAATCCTTGGAGATAAACCCACAGCCTCCATCCTATCCCAGGACCTGACTGGGCAGGTATCTGTGGACACCGTCCTCGCCGCACAGTAGGGCCTCAAGGCTGTGGCGCCACTAAAATTCCTTCTAACAAAAGTCCACAGGCAACCTGAAGATGTTAAAAGTCACCAAAACCCTTGGCTGTGCTGTGGATCCAGCTTTCAGCTGGTCTAAGTAGTATGCTGACACAGCCTGTGTTGACCATGGGCACAGGGGATGCTGACTCCAGCTCTCTTGTGGGATGCTAGCTTCAGCTCCTGTTGTACCCACAGCACCCCTGGCTCCCTACACAGAGGGCCATGTGGGTGTCACTGGCCTGGCAGGGGCAGTCAGGCTTTCCAGGGTGCAGGAATCAGGTGGGCATGGGGTCTGAGTCCAGCATGGTTCCTGGCCTGGAATTCAGAGCAGCCTTTTCTTCCGCTCCTTTCCGCATATCTATGGCTACAGAGTCCCATCTTTTCTGCCACTTGTCCCCAGCACCCCAGCTCTGAGCTGTCTCACTGCAAGCTTATCTGGGTGGGGCTGTCCCTCAGCACATGAATTAAGGCTACAGCAGCATGAACAAAGAAGACTGATGGCTTTACACTGGGCTGTGATGAGGATAAAAATAGCCTAAATAAAAGCACTTCAAGCCTGGGCAACAGAGTGAGACACCAGCCCCCCCCCCCCCAAACCATCTCCCTTATTTATTTTTTTGAGGCGGAGTTTTCTTGCCCAGGCTGGAGTGCAATCGTGTGATCTCGGCTCACTGCAACCTCCACCTCCTGGGTTCAAGCAATTCTCCTGCCTCAGCCTCCCGAGTAGTTTTACAGGCTATAGAATTACAGGCATGTGCCACCAAGCCTGGCTAATTTTTTTATTTTTAGTAGAGACAGGGTTTCACCATGTTGGCCAGGCTGGTCTCGAACTCCTGACCTCAAATGATCTGCCCACCTCAGGGCCTCCCAAAGTGTTGAGATTACAGGTGTGAGCCACTGCCCGGCCTAGACACCCTCATCTCTTTGAGACCCTCTCATCTCAAAAAAAAAAACTGAAAAACTTAGCTGGGCATGGTGGTACACAACTGTTGCCCCAGCTACTCCAGAGGCTGAGGTAGGAGGATGGCTTGAGCCCCCCTGGGCTTCAGTGAGCTATGACTGCACCACTGCACTCCAGCCTGGGCGAGAGAGTGAGACTGTCTCAAAAATAAGTAGATAAATGTATCTTTACTAAACTTGAGACTCAGTCTTTTTTATCTCCAAATAATGTGACAAGAACTCCAAGCCTCATATTTGTCATTAGAAAAACACAGTTCATCAGGCAAACGCAGAGAAATAGCGCTGACTAAAACCAAGCTTGAGAGAAGAAGGAGAAGAATTTCTTATCTTGCCTCCTCTCTCTCGCAGTCCAACTTTTTGAGCTGGGTCCTGACGTTTTCTTCCCCGACTTGTTGAATTGCAAAGTACAGTGCAGCAGCTGAGAGCCAGGCTGGGTTCGGTGCCTGGGGGGTGGCATCAGGAGAGAGGAAACTGGAACAGAGAGAAGGTGGTCACTGCAGGGCTTTACAGCCACACCACAGACAGCAGGTCCTTATTCCCGGCTGTCACAATGCTTCCTGTACCCCTCTGGGGCCCGCCTCTCCATCAGAGGATACAGAAGGTTATCAGCCATCAGAAACAACGTCTGCTTCCCTCCGCACCTCAGGTCCACCTCAGAGTCTGGGCAGGTGCTGGTGCTGCCCCCACAGCCTCTGCTGACTCCAGGAGGGAGTGGGCAGGGCCTGTCCACCTCGCCCTGTGTTCTTGGGTGCCGGCTGCCCAAGTTTTAGAAGAAGAGATCTCAGTTCCCTTAGTTCTCCATGCCTGGCCCTGTGACTGGATCAGGCGTTCCCTCCCAGAACAGAGAACAAAGGACCACCCGGCTCTGACCCCACTGTGAAGTCTGACAGACAGGTTTAAAATTCAGCCAGTTAAACTGGCAGGAGACCGGGCACCGTGGCTCACACCTGTAATCCCAGCACTTCGGGAGGCTGAGGCAGGTAGATCACAAGGTCAGGAGTCTGGGGTTCGAGATCAACCTGACCAACATAGTGAAACCCCATCTCTACTAAAAATACAAAAATTAGCCAGGAGGTGGTGGGTGCCTGTAATCCCAGCTACTCAGGAGGCTGAGGTAGAAGAATCGCCTGAACCTGGAAGGCAGAGTGTGTCACTGCACTCCAGCCTGGGTGACAGAGCGAGATTCATCTCCAAAAAACAAAATTGGCAGTAAATTAATGAAACATGATGCTGTGGTTTGAGAAACATGAAATACGCGGGGCATGGTGGGTCACGCCCATCATCTTAGCACTTTGGGAGGATCACTTAAGCCCAGGAGTTCAAGACCAGCCTGGGCAACACAGTGAGACTCAATCTCAAAACATCAAAACAAGGCCCGTGTGGTGACTCACGCTTTAATCCCAACACTTTGGGAGGCCAAGGCGGGCGGATCACTTGAGGGAGTTTCATTCTTGTCGCCCACGCTGGAGGATGTAGTCTCAGCTCA